GTATCATTGAATGTTTCAAATTCTCTTATAACCAACCAGGGATTGCGCTATTTGAAGCCATTGAAGAATTTACGCTCCGTATCTTTGGAATCCTGCAAGGTGACTGCATCTGAAATCAAGAAGCTTCAGTCAACTGAACTCCCTAATCTGGTAAGCTTTCGACCTGAATAGCGAAAAACTGGTTATGTGAACACCATGTAAATAGACTGCTATCAGCCTGATAGCATTTTGTACAGTTCAATAATTTTATAAAGTGGGCCTGTAAGAATTGGGAAATGGTTGGAGTGCTGATGGGCATTGGCATTGAAACTTGTAATATATTTGCAGACAGCTGAAGTTACATGTAAATATGGCTTGCTACTGAATGAATCTGTATATAGTTTGTTAATGTTTGATGCGAACAACCCCTATCTGCCCTGCTATGGCAATTCCATTTTGAGGTGTGCAAGTCCCTGCCGGTGGAATCAATTAACCATGCGGGAAATAATATAACGTTACTTTTGGAAGGATTCCTGGCAAGCTTGTTTTTGTCTAACGGTAGCAATGCTGTCTTGTTTCCTTATCAATGGCCGAGCGTTTTCTGTTGGTGTCTTCAGCAGTCCAGAACGATTATTTTTCTGTTCGTGATTCCGAACATTTTAGGGATCTTGTGGCGGGTTTGTTATTCAATTGCCAAACGATAAACGACCAGTTCTGTAGGTAATGGTTTGTTGGAAAATTTAGAGGTCGAGATTCAAAACGCTACCATCGCAAATAATTCAATTTAATAAAAAAAATAATAATAAAGATGAATAAAATTCAATTTAATGGAAGAAAAGTAACAAAAATAAATAAATTTAATAATAAAATAAAGATAAATAGAATTCAATTTAATAGAAAGAAAAATAACAAAAATAAATAAAGAGTAAACAAGGTTTGACAAAATTGTCTACTTTATAGATTGGAGGGTAATATTTTTTTAATACTATAAGAGAAAATTAGTATAAGAATATGACTGTAATTTGTGTATGTAAAATTCAATTTAAAAATCACTTTCTTGCCCAAAGAAAATAATTCAATCTTGGTTTTTTTTACGCTCTGAAACCACATTCTCTCACCTATTACAATGGCCTAATCATTTGGTTAAAAAAGAAGGAACAAGCTTGGTGACTAAGTTTATAAATATGGGGACTACTCCGCTCTTTCTTGATTTCCACTCTATGAACTTAGCTGTTACTTAAAAAGGAGGAATAAACTTGATTACTAAGTTTACAAAGTTCGGAGACTATTCCACCTTTTTTTAGTCTCCTATCTACCAACTTGATCATTACTTCAAGGAGTATGAGCCACGAACCCAATAATTTTCACCTTAGCGAATATTCTTGTCATCTTAAAGGTTTTTTTTTTTTGGCTCAACTTGTTTGCAAATATCACCCAAAAATAAAAACAAAAACAATGACCTTAATCGGAAAATAATAATTTTGAACGTCACCTGGTTCAAAAAACACAACCAATACTCATGTGTAGGCTGTCTTGAGTTAACTTTACTTGTTAACTTTAAAGAGGGTTTTTGATCCATCTTCTCCTTTAGGTGGATAGTTTTCCTTGCATTTATACAAAACCTGAAAATTCATAATTCTTGTCTCTTTTCCAATCATCAAAGAGATTTTTTTATAGGCACATACCATCTTATGTATTTTATTTCCAACAACTCCTCAAGGTCATTATCTTTTTAATCAAATGATATAAATTATCATAAGTTTCTCATTTTATCAAAATTGTGTCGAATGTGACTTTCAAGGCTCCCCTTGTAGCCGAATAACTAGTATCAAAACTTTGGTTTTGGAAGACTCGACTTTTGCTCGTGAACAATGTCTATAAATGACAAGTTTTAATTTATTGTGAAATAATTTAATAGGAATGAAACTTTTACTCTTTGATAATGAAGGGTGAGGGCATCCTTGTACAAAAAAGCTTGGTTAATGTGTTGAAGAGAAAGGATGAGAAGCTAGAGGAGATGGATGAGTATGAGTGAGAGGAGTTGGAATCAAAGTATGTGAGCACGATTCAACTCTTTATTGTTGATAACATTGTCAATAAAGTGATGAATGAAGATTCGACATTTGCAATATGTGAAAAGTTGAAAAATCTTAATCTAGCAAAGAGTTGAACAAAAAAGTTAGATTCGAACCAACAACTTTACAAGTTAAAGTGGAAAGAAGATGAGAATCTCATAGAGTACTTGAATATGTTCATTGGTATACTAGATGAATTTTGAAACAATAATGTCAAGACCGAGGAAGAAGAAAAAGCCTTCTTGCCTCATACTTCTCTTCCCAAATCATTTGAAAAATCTAGGGACGGTGTTGTTGTATGATAAGAATATGATGAATTTAGACTAAGTATGAACCGCACTTTTATTTTGTGAGACGTAGAGAAAGTCAAATCAAGAAAAAAAAAATACAACTCTATGTTGGTGATTAGAGAGGAGAATTGGAAGAAAGATAAGCTTAAAAAGAATTTCAAAGTGACGGGTTTGAGTTCAGTGTCTAGCAAAAAGGGCATTCAATGTTATGCATACAAATAATTTGGTCACATTATATGAGATTTCCCTCAAAAGGGAGAATGGATAAATCTAATAATGATAAAAATTCTTTAATTGTGGTATAAGATTATGGAGATATCCATATAATCTCAAAGTGTATTGATACTTTTTCTCATGATAATTGAATATTAGATTCCGCATTTGTATGACATTTGTGTTTCAAAAAAGAATATTCGATGAGTTTTAAAGATGAAAGATTGGTACCATGTCTTTTGGTGGTATGTTGTCTTGTGATATTATGGGTTTTGGAACGATAAAAATAAAAATATTTGATGGAGTCCTCCATACTTTGTATTGTCTAGTGATATTATGGGTCTTGGAACTATAAAAATAAAAATATTCGATGGACTCGCTTCATACTTTAGGTGGTGTGGCTTATGTCATAAAAATGCTTAGAAATCGATATCGTCGATCTAATTAGACTCGAAAGAATACAATCATTCTGTTGCACGTGGAGTCTTGAAAGTCACACATAGCAACAAAATCTTGGTGAAAGAGAAAAATATGATGATTTATATCGTTTGATTAGAAATATAATGACATCAAGGAGTGGTTAGAAATTGAGTACATATGATGATAGATATCGAAAAAATGTCTCTTTGGTGATTGGATATTAGACAAGAATTATGTATTCTCATGTTTCAAATGAATGGAAGGAGAAATATCCTCGCTAAGGGAGAGGATGGATTGATGATTCTATCCGAAGTTAATAACTAAAGTTGACTTAAGGTAACTACGCATGAGTATTAAAAATTTTTGGATCGAGATTCAACACACCAGCACCACCACGAAAAATTCAATTTCATGAAAAAAAAACAAAATAAAAACATAAAATATACGTAGTTGGATAAAATTCTATATAATCTACAAACTCGAAAGTAACTTCTTTTTTTTTTGAGAATTTGGTCTTCGCATTTTCATTAAGTTTTTGCCGATAATCCAAGGAACTTTATTTTTCTTCTCTTTTAACAATTGTCAATGAGGTCTTCTCGTTTTTAGAGGTCCTTAATCACCAATCTTTTGGTGGTGCTAGACACATGGTTAAATAAAATTAATAGAGTAAAACACAATGAATGAAGTGAACTAAAATCTGTTGAAGCTTTTAAAATACTTAAAGAAAGACTACTTCTTTATTCATTACTAGAGAAAAAAGAAAAAGGCTTCTATGAGAGAGAGAGAGAGAGAGAGAGAGAGAGGCTAAGGTAGGATTCTAAGGCAGAGTTCAAACTAGTGTTTACATTGAACATATTATCCTTATCCTGAAGTGACGAACTTAAATAGTGGAGTTAAAGTTTGGCTTTTTTTTTTCTTGGTCATTTAAATGTAAAAATAAAATGAGATTAAATTATTCTTTAGTCCTTAGGATTTTAAAAATGGTTATAATAGTTCTTAATATTTCATTATCTATAATTTAGTCTGTTGATTCTTGTTGATGGTTATCTTGTTAGAACATGTATTGGCTTGATTTTAATTCCAAACATATTTATCATTTGACAATTTAAGTTAGAGAAAAATTTACTTAATGAGAGTTTATCGAAAACCAATCAACTTTTTAAAAAGAGAAGGTTAACAAATGTTAAGAGACTAATTATAGGCTTTGAAAAATGAAGGAATAAGTTGTAATTTCTATCAAAACTTAGGGACTAAAGAATAAATTACTTGTTAAAATAGACATATTTTTCATTTTTCATTTTTGGTAGATAAAATAGACATGTTTATTTTTTAAATAGATAATGTTCTTCCCCTCAAAGTTCAGTTTCACCCGACGAGAGTATTGAATGGTTTAGAATAAGCTTGAGGTCTGACTTTTGCTCACATGCATATGCTGCAATCTGCGACAATGTAGTTTCTGGCATATGAAGTAAAGAAAGATTTTCTGACCTATTTTCATTCGAAGTTAGCAAGACAAGATAGTAGAGTAAACTCAAACCAGCAGAAAAGGCACAATTGTTTCCATGAAACCTAACTAACTAGATATGACTGAACAGTACCAAAAGTTACATCAAACTCGAGATTACAAACCAAAGGGGCAAACAAGCAAAGTATTATTACTGGCTACCTGACCAATGAATAACAAATACCATTTCCTGTTGAATGCCAATTTAAGAAGTGGGGAGGCGGTTGAGCGAAGTCAGAGATTAACAAAAAGGGAAATCCCTGCAGCTTCATCTTGTCCCCGTCGGTGTAAATAAATGGAAGAAACAGCTTCTGATAAAATTATGCAAATACAATTCCAGTACTACCAGCTACAACTCTGATGCTTCTAAAAATACAAGGCTGAAACTGAACTTTGAGGGGAAGATGCCTGCAGAACATGAAAACAAGGTTATTTTGAGCGAAAAAACACCTAACCTCTGATGGAAACAAGGAAATAAATTCATTAAGAAAGATTAAAAAATGATGCGAGAAGCATGCACTAATCAGAAGTGGCGGATACAATGCAAAGCCTATCACTGGTCTGACGAGTTCATAACACGACAATCCAAAACAAGAAATCATATTGGATTCTTGGAAGCATTTGCATTGTCACAAACAGTATGTCCCTTTCTGAGAAGGAACTATTTAACAACTTGTTTCTAGCCATTCTAGGAAGTTAGCACTTTCCCAAAGAGCAAGTGCCCACAAGGACCTGCCAGAGACTTAAAAAGGGAGCAAGGGTCACACTTTAGGTACATCTACTAATATGAACTTTGGATATAACATTATGGTAGCTGGAAGACAAGGTGTCACAGCTCTTTTCCATCTTATGCAAAAGAGCTTGATCAACGAGAGAGAGTTTTTGGCATGCGTGTACATATCTAAGCAAGAAATCATCTATTCAATATAAATTTCTTATGCATGCAAATCATAAAACCTCCAAGGCATGATAAATTTCGGACACCCGACGACGAAGCAATGGTTCTAGCCGGAATGTGGGAACCCCATTTTGCCACATCTTAGCTTCATGCATCTCATTCCATGCTTGTACTATTTCATCAATTCTAAACCCTAGACCTGCAATGGTGAATATTGAGCAGACAAAATTTGTTAGCATCTCAGAGATAATTTCTTCTTAAACAAAATTTTAATATGTAATTATAAGTCATACCTTGCAGTGCATTATCATTGGAAACATGGTTCTTTATCATAACAGCAATATCCGTGGAGGATGCTCCAGCAAAATGAAACTTCTCGACTGCAGCTTCCAAGCATTCTTGCCAGACTGGTAGGTCTAATTTGAATTCCATAATTGATCGCTCGTATAGTATGGTGCCCCATAGGAGGTTAATCTGGGACATCATGTTCCTAGCCTGCTCAGTAGCTTCTTCTGTGGACACTTCTTTAAATAGCCCGTCCGACCCAGTTTTCTGAGACTGGGATTTAACCTTTGCTGAGCTGGAAAGTTTCAGGTGGTGAGCTTCAAATGCTTCCCACAGTTCCATGCCCCTTTCCATGTTGTCCTCAGCCATGTTATAGAGTTGTACAACCTCTTGAAAAGGCCATGTTTTCAAGTCAACGTTGTTTGCAATTGCATAATACCAGGAAAGTTTTGCCCGTTCGAACTGCTGCTGCGCTTGAGCTAGAAGACCTTCATAGAAGTCTGGTTTGATTCCCAATGCTTCTTCATATCTCTGCCCTGCTTTTATATATTCTTTTTGCGCCCAATCATAGGAAGTTCTGATCTCTTTAAGTATTGATTCTCTTGAAGCATCTTTTGTGAAGGCAGGCCTCTTCCTTGCCCTGGACATGTGAATGTTTCCCCAGTTGAACAGGGCCAAAGCTGCCATCTCTTGGAAATTCCTTGCTGCAGAGGTGAAAAGGTCTTGAGCTGCTTCACTCGTAACTGTCTCCTCCATAGCCTCTGAATACACCTTCATGCCGAGTTCATGAAGACCCAAATAAGTATCAGAATCAAACCCCACATGGTTCTTGAACAGCTTAGCAAACTCTACTATCCATTCATCAATGAAATATGATCTGTTTTCAGACGGCTTGCAATTTGCCATGTTCCCATTTTCAGTGGCATGCTTTTGTTTGATATCCAGTTTGTGCACCTCCTCCTGCCTCACCAGATACAGCCTGATAGAAGCCTGGGATTCTGCTGATGCTTCTGCCCACCTCAATTCTTCATCAGTGGTTATTGTAACCAAATCACCTTCTTGGTCCCGGTATTTGATAAGAACCTCTTCTGAGCCTGGAAACCGATCAGCTATAACATCCCTAAGTTGCAGGAGGTTGCAATTGAGAGGCACCTGAGCACATCTTATGTCCTGCCCAAAAACCAATTTTATGGTCTTCTTAGGTGGTTCTTCCGTTTTGCTCCTAATTTTCTCCTTGACAACCACCTTATCCTCGGCATTCTTCTCCTCAAGTTGACTATCGAATCTCTTGTATTCAATTTCATTGCCAGCATTCTTTTCCTCGATTTCATCTGCAGCCTTCTTTTCTTCTGCTTTTTTGCTCTTCTTCTTCCGTGTCTTCTGTTTCGCCAGTTTTGATGAAGCAATAGGAGGTTCAACATATTCTGGAGGCAGTTCAATTACTGTATCATTGACAATTAAGCCCTTCTGCTCAATTGTTTTTTTCACCCTATCTGAAATCTCTGATGCCATAAAATTATTTGGCTCCATTTTCAAAACCGTACTGACATCTCTTAGAGCCAAATCCAGCCTATTCAAGGCCTCATAACACCTTGCTCTCTTTAACAGTGCCTTACTATACTTAGGTGTTACCTCTAATGACAAATTACACTGTTGAATTGCCTTGGGATATTCACTCAGACCCATCTGCATATAACATGCGGCCATATTACTCCTAAGATAGGATACATCAACATGATTCTTTGGAAGCAACTTGATGGCCTTTTCATACTTCAACATGGCTCCTTCATGGTCTCTCTTCTGGAACAACTTGTTCCCTTCCTCCTTCAATTCCTGTGACATGGAAATGAAGACTGCAGTGTCCTTATCAACTGCTTTAGGGCTATTATTCCCAACCTTAGGTTGCTTCTTATCATTCTCACTTGATTGTCTTCCAAACTGTTTCTTATCCTTTCCACCCTCCTTCGCCATTGCGAATCCAACAATCCAAAATCCAAGAACTACAACTCAAATCAACTAACTATATTATGATTACCCAAACAAAAACCACAAAATCCAACCTAATCCAATAAAACAATTCACAAACTAACAACCAAGCTCACCTACAAGATAAACAATCAAACCCAACAACCACTTTTGGGCAAAAGCTTTAAAATTGCAGGAATAAGATAGGTTACAACTTCAAAGCATTAGCTAAACAGATCTTCAAAACCCAATCCAAGAATATACTAACATACAACAGACCACGCACACAAGCAAATAAAAAACCAAGCTCTAACACAGCACAAACCACAAACCAAATTCAAATTTGTCCTCCAAAAGGGTGCCAATTTCCACAAACTAACTTCAGAAATCTAAATTTCTCCCTTGAATCCCAAGAGGGTTCTTCTCTTTTCAAGCACACAATGACTTCAAACCAGAAAACCAAATAACACAAAAGGAAAAGCAATAAACTTTGTCTATCTCTCCAAATCAGGACAAATCATTCCTCCTCCAGAGAAAAAACAAATCCCAATCCAGAGAGATACAAACAAAACAAAACAAAAAGAAAAGAAACCTCCTTTCAGCTAAAGATTGCAACTTGATATCTTGCTTGAACCGAAGAAATTGAAAACTTATCTGGGAAATGAATTCTTGAAAAAAAAAAAAGTTTGCAATGGAGATTTCTTTTTTATCTGTCCCCCTTTTTCAGGAACTTGCAGAGAGAAGGTTGAAGAAAGCTTGTAAGCGTGTGCTAAAAAATGAGAAATGGAAAAGAAACCGACTAAAGTCTTGTACTTTTGTAATGTGTAAGATTTTCCCAAGCTTAACGTAAACGCCACAAAAAAAAAAGCTGATAAAACAATGTTTTTGTTTCACGTATTTTTATTTATTATTTATTTTTTAAAAAAGCTTTTGATATATTATTTTTAATTTCTTATTCGAAATTTGTAGCTTTTGATGGGTCTTTTCTTCTTTTATTCTATTAAAAAAAAAAAAAACCAAAGTGGTAGGGATATTGTTTCCGTGAATTCCAAGTATCCTGGGGACGTTTGATGAGAAGGGAAAGCCAAAGATTTCCTTTGACCAGCTGCCACAGCCGACGCGCAAATGGTTGTCGTTTTCTTGAATCTATACCTTAACTTAATTAATTATTTGTGACGTCTTAAATAAAATCTTCAATGCTTGCTAGATAAAGTCATTAAATAGGAGGGTTCGATTTCAAGCATGTGATTTTCATGAGTAGTTGTCTTTTAGTTGCTTAGGCTGTTAGTTATTAAACATGGGAGTTGACAAAGAATTTCAGTTGTATTGAAATGCTTATCTAATCTCTACATGTCACCAAATAAAATTTAATTTTTTTATGATTGTTTTGTTCGATATAAAAAACAAAACAAATACACAAGTTGGTTTTTATATATAAAAACTCGAATGTAAATCATTTGCTTAAATAATTAAATTTTTTTTCGCTCAAATCAATTTTTTAAAAAAATTAATTAATTTTTATTGAGATTTATATCTCATTTTTCTTTTTATATAAAAATCATATTCTATTTAGTTCAATTTAGTTTTCTGTTCTTTGAACAAGAAATAATATCTACCCAGATATGATAAACTTATGATAAGCATGCATATTCAATAAATACACAATTCTAATTTAAAAAATAATAGATTAATGTTTATTCGGATTGATTAGAAGGAACACAAAATTATATGAGTGTTCATATATAAACAATAAAATTACTATTTTAAAATCCAAAATGATGCAAATAAATGAAGAAAAAAAAACTGATTTTCAATAGAATCAATGATTACCATAAGGATACTTTTATGAGTATATGTTCATATTAGTTATTTTTCTATTGTTTTTGGATTAAAAATAAATAAATAAACATCTATTTATGATGGTAAAAACCAACTCGTTAGAAAAGTAAAATCACCTCCAAAGTCAAGGATTTTAACATTATTTCAAGACCAATTACTTTCGAAAATATTTTTCATAACCTTTTTTTTTTTTCATCTTTTTTTCCACCTATTGGGAAGAAAACCCTACAAGGGATGTAAGTTCTAACTTTCTACGTGGCCTCCTCTGCAAATTCTTTTCTTTCGTTAGACATTCTTTTCTTCTTTTTCATTTTTTAATCAAAAGAAAAGGATTCTTATAATAATAATAATAATATAATATAATTAATACCAATGACAATGGTGCTCTCTCCTCATCAGATCAAGTGGGCTGCTTTACCTCTCCTTTTCGGTTTATTTTTTGGGGCAAAAGCCATAAGTGGGACAAGCTGGCATCGAAGGGAAGGGACCCTTTCGCTTTTTGTCTTCCTCCAAGACAAGGCATGTGATCAAAAGTTAACGAACAATGAATGCTACGTGGGACTTCAACTAACAACTGCCAATCACAGAAATAATCAAAGAAAAGAAAAGTAGACTGGTAGTTTCCCACAGTAACTTACAAGGAAAATGGCAAAGCCGCAGAACCGCAGAAACCAAACAAAGCAAGACAATCGTTTTGGAAAACCAAAAATTGGAATCGTTTTAAAGGAAAAACCAAAACAAAATGAAGCTTAATTATGAATAACACCATCACAGAAATCACAATGGACACTTTCCATTTAAATTGGCGACGACAAAGCTTTTCCCAGCTTACTCCAAGAATCGGAAATCTGATGATTGATTATACATGGACAAAATCAATATCCTCTTTTGGGTATAGCTAGTACGTAAATGCAGATAATTAACCTGAGTGATTTTAAAGGATCGAAGCCCAAATTAGGAAACATATAATCATTGCAATTGCCTCCTTTAATTTTCTTTCTCTCTTTTTTCACTTACCTTTTTGGTCTTTATACTAACACTTTGTAGGGACGATGGTGGGTCGAGTGGGGATGGGTTTATGTGCTACTATCTTATCTAGCATATCTATAACCGTCATCTGTATTCATTCAAATCAGGTTTGGTAAAATATCTTATCCGATTTTTTTTAAATCTTATTCTTTGATTTAATAGTAGTGCCTCACAAAATATCATCGTAATAAATTATTGCAAAAAATCTCACATATCCAATAATATTTTTAATTTTCGAAGTCATATGTAATAAGTATATAATTTTTAAGTATAAAAGCCTAATAATATTTAATTTGGTATAAAAAAAAACTTTACTCAATAGTATTGACTTGAGTATTGACTTGAGTAGAAGGAGCTTTAGTTGCTTAAGTAAGTGATTTTAAGTTCAAATTCTTATATATATAAAAAATTCTTTAGATATTTATGCTTGTTTTGTGCGTCTGATCGAATAATAAAGGATTAGTCTAAGCTTTTGAGTCTTAAATACCGTGAGGATTCAAAAAAAAAAAATAATAATTAAACAGCTGTTAGCTACTTGTTCATGGACGATACCCATGATTAACCCATAAAAATTGTGTAAAGAAACGAGTCCGTTGGACAACTTCATCCTCATGTAAGGTACACAAGAAGAACAGTAGAAGAAATAAGAAGTTTGAGTCAGCATGAACAGTTAAATACCTCATAAACTATAATGTTTTAAACAATAAATAATAATACTTTTTTTTTTTTTTTGGTTAATGTTAACAGGTATGAACTATGAAGTCTCCACATTCCTTTTGAGCTAGTCCTTGAGGTAGCCCTATTTGGAATTGGCTGCTCGTTTTTCTTTCCAGGTAAAGCAGGTTAAAGGTCGGAATGCCTACGCCACTAAAAATAACTCGGCTCTAGAAGAGTTCCTTCCCCTTTTGGATGGACCAACCCAAAGCCTAGAAGGCCCCCAGATCAAGGGACTACTTGCCCGAGGAGCCTTAAAGGCCCAATCATCAGGAGCCCACTACACTCATGCGACAGCACGAACGCCCAGGATCCCAAGTCATTCTTTTTGGTGACATGGCAACATTTCATTGGTTAATCAACGCAACTACAACACGAGATTTATCGGACTCGCAGAGGAAAATTGTTTCTCCCTCTTCAATTCTCTACACAAAACCCAAAATCTACAATTTATTTTTTTGGAAGTTCTTAGATTATTAGATTTACGAATACGAGAAAAGGAAAATAAACAACAAAAAAGGAGTTAGAAAGATGCGATTTTTATTGCTAATCGTGGTGTTATACACCGTATGCAGCCATGTTTTAGCTGATCTAATCTACCCCGCTCATGTAGGTAATCAAACAGTTCTACTTTGACTGTTAAGTTGATAGCTTTATCCATGTAAGATTAATGGATCTTTGCAATTTTATTGTTTTTGAGATGGGTTTTTCTTGTTTCTCTTTGGTTCTCAATTTCAGGGTGAATGTTTGAAGGGCCTGGTTTGTTACGATTAATCAATGGCTATTGTATTATTTTGTTGTTCATGCAATTCTTTTTTAGCAAATCTTATTATGTTTTTTGTTTTGGGAACATTGGAGTGTTTCTTTATTTTATTTTTTTTTTCCTTGAGAAAATTCAGAGCGTGTTAATTGTAGTTTGAAATATGCTGAAGCTGAATTGGCTTGGCCTTTTAATTATTTAGCTGTTATACATCAAAGTATAAGGTGCTTAACTGTGTATGAGCCTTTGAAAGGAACAAAATATGAATAATTAAATGGTGGGCTGTAATGCAGCCATCACTGCTGTTAACAATGATCATGGAAATAGTTAAACATTTAGGGGTTTCATGTCCTTTTTTAACATGCTCAACCAGTTACAAGAGTGGTTTCGTTTTGTATTTTCGTGTTTTATATATTAAGCAAGTTAGTTAAATGAATGTTGTTAGAGTTGCTTTCTTCTTCTGTTTTTGTTATTTTGAATGTGCTTTGACTTTCTACTAATTAACAGGTGGTACGTTCAGTCGTAGTACTCGTGAACCAAAATATCAGATTGAATTTCATTCAGAAGACTCTCCTTTTCATCCTGTAAGTAAGCTTAGGGTTATTGGCATTAGTTTACTTTCTGACCTACATGTACCTTTGTGTTACTCTGTTCGTTGTCATTGTCATCAGCAAGCATGCATGCATGCCTATATTTGAAAATGGCTCTTCAACACTGTTCTCACCACTTGTTCTTAGATTGCTTAAAATTAGAATATGATGGTAACCTGGTACTTGGGGACAGTTTACACTATAGTTGTGGCTTGAAAGTGCGAAAATAACATTGGCCTAGGTTTTGGAAGATGAGTTGATATTTTAACTTCTTCCTTTTTACCCTCTCCACGTCCCATGAGGCCTATTATTTTTTATTTATTTTTTTTTTTGTGAAAAGCATGTTCCTGCAACAACCTAATGACTATTCTTTGGCTTTCTGATGTGAACTTACTTTCCCTTCTAGTTTTCTCTGCGTTGAATTTGGTTTCTTTATCTTAATTGCATAAAAAAGGGAGTTTTCTTTGCAGGATGATGATCAGGAATCAATGGTTATGCCCAAAAATAACGGTGAGAATTACTTATGCTTCTTGCCTAAGGTGGAGAAAGCTAAAAGTGAAAAGCCACGTTCTCAGCTGAATATAAGCAGCATGATTGTGGAAACTGAGAGACGGGTTAAATTGAAGACGCCAGATGAGCTGCTTGAAGTACTGAAAGGCTCATGCTTTGTCAGAGTCAGTATCTGTTACCAAAAACTTTCTTGGACATGTCCATGCTAGATAATACTGTATATTTGTCTATCAAAATTACTACAAACATCATCTGTAACTACATTGTTAGTTGTTAGTTATGCATTTTTGTTTTCTGATAGCTGGGTTTTTGAATATATTTGCATCAGTCTATATGTCATTTGTCTTATACTGCCATATCTTTAATGCAGCAAGAGGGTTGGTGGTCTTATGAGTTATGTTATCAGAAGAAGTTGAGGCAATTCCATGTGATGGAGGACGAAAAGGAAAAGGTAGCCACTTGAGCATGTATGAGTTGTTCTTATGTTTGATTTTCCAATTTCTTTTGTTTTGCCTTCAGCTTTGATGTTCCTTGCTTTATAAGTGGAAGCATGCTGGTGTGATTGGCCAAAATTTATTCACTTTAAATCTTGGGATTTGTTTTGCCTGATGGATTAATATTTTTGAAGTTGAAGTAGATTAGGTGTCCTATATAGATTTGTACCTGCAGTTGCTATTATCATTATTATATTGAAAATTTCAGTTTATTTTCCAATTGTCTGACCAGCAGCAATAGCAGCTTCTCTTTTGTATATTGCACACCTGCAACATGTATGCTTTTACCTTAATGATACACATATTTCCCATTACAGGTCGTCCAGGAATTTATCTTGGGTGTGTATGATGAAGAAGCCACGGCTGCGTTCAACCAGAATCTTTCTGACATTTCTACATTGAAAGATCCTAGCTCAAAAGATGCATCTCAAAGGTATGATTGCGTACTCTTGCAACTAGCTTGACTGTGAGAGAAACTTCACTTGTGGATAAAGTAAAGCTAAGAAAAGATGGTAATCACCATATTTTTTGTTTGTGTTTGAGTAGGTATCATTCTCATCAGTATACAAATGGAACTATATGCGATCTTACAAATGAGCCTCGAGAAACTGAGGTAGGGTAAAGGAGTAACTTTTTTGCACCTTTTGACTCTCTCTCTCTCTCTCTCTCTCATGTGGTGTCCATGTTTTGTGCAGGTGAGATTCGTATGCTCAGAGCCCAGAGCTATGATTAATTCTATCACTGAGTTATCCACTTGCAAGTATGCACTTACAGTACACGCTCCAATGCTTTGCAAGCACCCGTAAGTCTCTCTCTCTCTCTCTCTCTCTCTCTCAGATCAAATCCTTGAGTGCTAAAGAAAAGATGTGATATTATACAATAGCATGTTTCAGGACTCCTGTTTAACCTCTTCTCTGGTAAAAGAGCATTGCTATTCATTTAACTTGTGATTTATCAAAGCAAATTTGTCTCAAGTTTTAGACTCAACTTGATGGTATAAGGCAATGAACTGTCCTGCTTGGGTAGAAGAACAAGCCATTCTTTCTGTGATGACAACATATCATCTCTAAGGTGCCTCTTGTCACGTGTTTAAACAAAATGTAATCTGAAAAATGGCCGTGTTGCTAGTAGAAAAATGGGTCCTTTTTTGCTTCTGATTTCATTTCTTCAAGACTACTCTTGAATTCTCTTATTATCCATGTGCTGTTCATTGCAAAAATGAAGCCAAAAAAATTGTTATGAGTGACACAGATGGAAAATCTGCAGTTATTAAAGTTCCTTGAAAAATGGCACTGTAAAGTGCAAAATATTCTCTTCATAAATAAAATATCTATATACAATCTGTTGTTACTTGTTTCTTATGTGGAAGGCATTTGTTTTATCTTTTGAGTTGCAGGTATGGACTTGTTTTGTGTTTAGTTCATTTTTATCTGGCTTCAGATGGACTTTAAGTTTCTTTAGGAAACGTGCCATTTCATCCCACTGAATCTTGTGTGTTTGCGTGCATGCATAATGCATTGCAACCCCTTTTGACGTTGCAGATTGTTTCAAGAAGAGAGACCTGTGTTGCACACCATTAATTGCAATCCACTTCCGAAGGATTACAAGGAAGCTAAGCCAGACAAAATCGAAACCAACGATAAGCAGATTCTTATGGTACCTGACATTGATTCATCTAATCATGATTCAGATGAATAAGCGACGCACTGCAGAGGGACCTTTGTCAATACAAATCAAATTAAACGAGCTAATGGAGTGTATTCTTCCTGTTTTATATGGCTCTTCCCTCATAAGTGCAACAACCGGTCAATCGTTTTCATGTCATCTACCCAATGAGCGACTTTGTCTCGACTGACTCTTTTTCTTTAGAAAATATACAGCAAATAGAGCTAGACAGTGTGATTGTAACTTTGGAACAATCAAAGTTGCTGAATCTAATGGGAAAATGAATGTAAATTTTATGAAACAAGACATTCCTTGATGTTCTACTTATATTTTCTTCCGTTTCTATCCATGCATACTAACTCATTTGTTGCTTTCTAACATGCTAACGTTTAGCTCTGACTTTAATGTCGTTTATGATGTGGGTTTTGAGGTAAAGTTTGCTCATCTTTAGAAGGTAAACACGGAGATTTTTTAGGAATAAACTACCTTGGGCGAGAAGAAATATTTTGAAACAAAACAGATAGAAGTTTGGACCTTTATTTTATGTTAACCTACAGAGATAAATAAACAAAGTATCCTGTGTATAAACTTTTAGACTACTCTTTTTCTTCTTGGGAATTATTTTCTCTGGGACCTTTATTAATCTCTTTGGCTTAAGGAAAAACTTTTACCCTGGGTTATCTTATATCGACAAGGCCTATCATTTGATGTGATTTTTGACTATATGATATTGCTTATCTATCAAAAAAGAAGGGGAAAAAAATACTGAAAGTTCAATTATCTAATCCCGCAATAAGATAACAAACGTCATGTCAAGCTAAGATTAGCCTTTACGATTTTATTTACCACTCTTTATGCAATCGGTACAATTATTGGCAAAGATGACAGTCCCTAGATTACAATAGCCTGGATTCAATTGAATATTTTCTAGGAGATGACATTTCAAAAATAAAAACCAGATGAGTTGATATAAATTTCTTCCATGTTTTCGGTTAGAGCCACCTTTTTTTCTCAGAGAAATCTATAAAAACAAGCGGGACTTTTGCCTGTGTGCCATTCATCTCCAAAATACATTCATTTGAACCAGGAGGTAAGATAAAAACACCCATGGAAAGTTTTACAATAAAAGGGATCAATGCCCTATAATATCACTCTCAAGATAGATACTGCACAATCTACTGCAATTAAGTTTGCTTTCTGTAGGGCTGGTCAGTGCAATGATGCAACTTATGCTAGTTTCAACCCTTAATTCCTGAAGTCTCACCATCCTATCACTATATTCCAGTTAACGTTATTCACAATATATTCACAAAGATATACTTTGTGTCATCATGTCAGTCTACTTTCTTAATGGTGGGGCAGCTGGGAAGACGAAGCTTTTCCATTGCCATCCCCTGAAGCCAGCAAAGCGAGGTACTCATTTATAGACTCGCCTTCCTGAGTCACTTCAATATCATAATCTGAAAGCGCATCACCTCTTGCAAGTTCTTCTGCAATTTCATCCTCCATTTCCAAGTCCCGCTCGCTTGATGAAGGATCTTCATTGCCCTCATCAATGCCCAAAGTATCTGGACTCAGATCCTCCAGAACAGGGTTGGTAGGAGTATCATTAGCAGTTGAGTCACTGGTTGTATTATTGTCCAATGAGGAATCATTGTTGTCAGCAGCGACTGTGGGGTCTGCTCTGGGATGTGTGAGCAATTGATGCATGACTTGCTCTAAAGAGCCACCAGCTTGGACAGCACCAATCACTGCAGAATGCAGGCAACAAAACTGTCAGTAAGCTGCTTGGTAATCCAAATTCCTAATTAGTGGCACCACAAGGCATAGCTGTGCTTATTAGTACCTCTAGATCTTTCAAAGCCCATGGACACAAGCCGTTCGACTGTGGCATCCGTGGCTCGTTGCTGTCTTTTCCTTTTCCTTGATTCTATATCATGCTGCAGGTCAATTAAAGTTAGTGATAGTAAAAGTTTGAAATGAAATTCAGACAAAAAATAATTTAACTCTCAGGTAACCAAAGCAACCTGGAGTGCAGTATTAGCTTCTGGGTTTGTCAAATCATCCAATGCCTTCTGAGTATCGTTCTCATTTTTTCGAAGAGCTTCAGCAGCAAGCTCCTTCTCAAAACTGCCAAGTTGAGAAGCTCTTAGCTTTTTTTTTTATCAGGGACAATAAGTGCTAAATGGATGAAATTGGTAACTATGTTTGAGTTAGTAAGTGTCAATCTCATATTTACAGAATGTGCTAAAAAACACTGAAGAATCAGATAATCTATATGTCAATATTGATAAAGTTAATAAAAATCGTTTCTCCAACTGAGTATTAACGTCAGTTACCAAGAATGTGCATTGCAATTGGTATAACAAATGTTAAAAGAGTACTAAAGATAGAAGCTCAAACATCAGAACTCCTAAAGAGAATCACGTATAAACTTTCCAAGCCGAAACTATGTTTCCTGGCAGTCACACCACTAACAGAAGTATTACAGTTCTTGCTTACCCTACGGAGACCAACATCGTCAGTCTCTCGAGATCCACAGCTTTTTTTAAGGGTGTAACTCCATAACGTTTCTGCTCCCTGGAAATCAACAGAGAAGTGAAGGTTACAAACAGAGGGCAAATTCCATATAAACCAGTACCCAAATTCAGGATACTTGCATGATTTCATTTCTTCGACGAATGTCGTCTTTCTGTTTCTCTTCTCTCTTTTCCCTTTCCAATACAAGAAAATGAACAGCACTCTGAACATCCTGATTGCTCATTCTCAATGCTCTTTTTGCATCTCGTTCCCCAAATCCCATGCTCATGACAATTGATAGTGCTTCATCTGGCACTTGTAGCTGGAATCCACAACAGGAAATTGAATTGAGTTGGAACAAAAATGGAAAGAAGCTATATAACTTTTATAAGAAATGAAAGAGTGAAATGAGAAATAAGATCAAAGACAAAGTAAAAGAAGAATCCAGAATTACACAGTATTGATAATAATTCAGAAACATTTTAGGCAATATATAAGTGTTCAATATTGGGATTCATAGATTGGATTGTTAATGTTTAGACAAAAGCAATTGCCAATGTTCAAGCCTGGAGAGCAACCGCTTCAATAGACTAACAACTAGATTTTATTTACAGATGCATAGCTTTCGTTTTTGGTAAAAGGTTGCAAGCAACATATATTATTCCTAGAGAAAATGAAAAAAATCAGATTACATTCAGTACCACCATCAACTATCCCAGCATACAACCAAGATGAGGAAACATTGTGTACTTAATGTGTTTACCCAAAAAATTTCATGTTCATACACACAGGGGAAACAAAAAAACTGGTCTGACCTCAAAGAATTTTGCTTGTGCAGAGGTCAAGTACTTCCTAGATTTATCAAACTGGCCACTGTGATATGCCACCACTCCTTCCAACAATTCCAATCGCAAATATCTATAAAGAAATAACAGAGCAGTATTAGCTTCAAAGTTCCAACCAAGACTTTCTCTCCAGCTATCAATAGCATGCTGAAAATTTCCGATAGAAACTCACAATGCAAGCTCTGAAGAACGACCAGCTTGAAGCAGTCTGAATCGCGAGGAGTCCTTGCCATGAGCACGTTCAAGTCCTTCTCTTGCCTTTTCGAGGCGTAATCCTGCCACTGAGAGCCAGGCAATATCTCGGAGCATGAAGTAACACCACACCATGTCTATTTGCAGTATTGGGATATTGTCGACAAGCTGAAAGCAACACATAGCCAAAAGGAAAAAAGAAAAGGGACTCACTATCACTTAACCATAAAAGATACGATAAAAGAGATCTAGCGTTAACCATATTTGTTAAAGAAAAAGAATAGCTCACATACTTCAATGGACTTGGGATTGCATAGAGAGAAAGCCTCCTGCAGCATAGAAATCAACATGATATTCATTTCCTTCCTTAATTACTGGAGGGTTTCTCAATTGATAAGCAACAATCAAGTTTCCCAAAGGAAAAATAAACATCCAATAAGTCTAAAAATAATTTTATATGTATACGAAAAGTTTTAAAAAGAACTAAGCTATGTAGAAGCAACGCAATGCCAACAGCAATAGACAAGCAGAGGAAATATGACAAATACAGGGAATTGTGATCATTTAATTAAAGGAAAAAAAAAATGAAAAAGCATAAGATGTAGATCCAAAAGTTATTCCCTTTAGGCCGCCCTCAAAAATTGAAATCGAAATATATCTTAAAAGATGGTGCCACTAACTTACACCAAAACAATTGATTAGACCATAGAACCTAAATGTGCAAATCAATTGAAATGAATTGACCATTTAAATATATGCACAAGCAACTAACCTCTCCCATAGTAAGAACTTCTAGTGCATCACTAAACATTTGTTTTCTGATAAACCTCTTTCCACTTGTATGAAGCATCAGGCCCATCATTATTGCCCTGTCAAATAATGGTTCAGATCTTACTTCTTATAGAGATGGATAGACCCTTAAACTCCTGACTAAGGGAATTAGTTTATCAGGTGTTAAACCAATCTAGAAAAGTTACAAGCACAATTTACTTAAGTATCTTACTGTCTATCAGTCTCAGAAAAGTGCACTTTGTTCCCACTCTGATCTTCAAGTTCGATATCGAAGTCTTCTATCGGTAATGCACCATCTGCATGCCTCTTGGACAATGCAGTGACAGCTGTCCTGCCAAGTTAAAAGAGACCAACATGTGAAATGCAACAGTTAGCAAATATGCTCAAGCAAGCAAATAACAAAGACATGTTCAGAACAATATCATTCTCAGACGGCACGTCTTACATGTCGATCCTCAATAAGAAGCACAAAAAATAAATCCAAAAAGCTAGTTTTGTTTGGGGCTAGAACAACAAGGCTTAGTCATTGCGAGTTGTATGCATTACAGAAAAGTATCGTTGTTCAGACCCAAATTTTATTTTCTTCAAACAGATGCTTAATTTGCTTAATTTAATCTACCTATACAATTCAATACCAAAACTGCATTCTTTGCCAAAATCTCATAAATCTATCAGTACCAAGAACCCGAAAAGCCATAAAACAGTAAATAAAGAGACCAAATTCCACACAAACATCTCCAAGAAACTTACAGGTTAAAATAACTAAATTCAAAACAGAAAAAATTAAAAAAAAAAAACCAGAAACCCATCACCAGCAGTAATCCAATTAAGTAAATAACAAGTCAATGCTACCCAAAAAAAAAAAAAAAAAAAAAAAAAAAAAAACATATTAAAGAACATAGATGATAATAATGAAAAAAAATGAAAAAAAAAAAAAAAAAAGGGAAGAAGAAGAAGACTCACTTGATACGAGCAAGTCTACGGTTTCTTTCATCATCAGCCAACAACTCATTCTTTAAAGTTTTACCCTCTTCGACAAAGACACGACAAGCAAGGATTTTAGAGTTATTTTTAATACCCAGTTGAGAAAGACTGTTTTTTTCCTCACTGGTACAGTCTTTCAAGACTTTGCCAGCAAAAATTAGATTGATCGACTCAGTACCCATGTTTGATCTCTTCGAAATCTCTTCTCTCAACATGGGCACCGTCCAATTCTCTGGTTCTACCTCTAGCACTCCTGCCCATGTCCCCGCTACTTTCAGTTTCGCCATTGAAGAAGAAGAAGAAGAAGAAGACATTATGTTATGTCTTGTGGGTTTTGTGACCTTGTCTTCGTGTTTGTATAAGAGTGAGGAGTGAATAGAAGTTGGTTTCTTTAGGGGTTTATATAGATTGAGTGACAATGAAAGTCTTGGTCTTTTTGGTTAGCTGATGTGTAGTTTCTTTCCTTGGAGATCACGCTGCTTTTGGGTTTTTCTAATTTGGATTGGAAATGGTGCTCTGCTGTCTGTGTTGAATTGGCATTAGATAAAGCTGGAGTGGGGACTATAGTGTTACTTACTTTGAAGTTCTTGAATTTTGGTGTGTTTTACTTTGGTACGTGTATTTTAGTATAGTTCAACTAGTACTCCAAATAAATCTAAATTTTCAGATTATTAGTACTTCTTTTTATCCATGGGAGGGTAATTTTTGTTATTCCTTTTTCTTTATAGGTTGACTTTGTTGTTTGAGAAACTTGATTCATTGAAAATTAATTACTAAACTACTTAACGATTAAGCAAAATCTTGATAATTACATTTTCATATTGAAGGAGAGAATAAGGTGTGTTTGTGAGTTGCTAGATGCCAACGAAATAATAACAATGCTTATAATTTATGAATTGTCAAATATAGTAATATACAAAATTCACAAACATATGGATATATGAATTTTTTTTTTTTCATATTTGTGTTACATGTATGATTATAGTCTGACTCACATTGAGTTAAATAATTGAGATTAAGTTTCATCTAAAAAATTTAAGGCTTATAGTCGATGATTTTTCTTTAACTTTATATATTACTCATCTATTATTTATTTATTCAATATGTGATATGTTCTTTAGCGCTTGCCATCACTTGTAATCCATCTTTTAAGGTCTATCAAGTAACTTGGACTTCAAAATTTTAATTAGATGGTTCGAGTGTCTTTGAGACTTAGATACCATATTGAGTTAAATAGTTGAAATTGGATTTCATTAAAAAAAACTTAAGTCTTACGGTGGGCCTCTTTGAGGCTTTGATTCCATTCACAACTTTATATGTTACTCATTTATTATTTATTTGTTCGATATAGGACATGTTTCCCAAACAATACACATTACTTTTATGTTAGCACTTGATAGGATAAAAAAACAATTACTTAAATACTAATTGTTAAGCAAATGCTTGATAATTAAACTTCCTTATTAAGTGAGGGTGGGGTGCGTTTCCGAATTGCTAGATGTCGGCAATATAATGGCAATACTTACAAATTATGAAATGTCAAATATAGTAATGTATAAGATACACAAACACATTGACAATTGAATTTTTTTTTCATACTTGTGTTGCATGCACAACTATAATCTAAATTAATTACTAGTATTCTATATAGTTAAATTTAGTATTCCAAATAAATCTAATTTTCATATTATTAATACTTCTTTTTATTCATAAGCGGAGTTATTTTTGTTTCTCCTTTTTTTTATAGGTTTACTTTTGTTGTTTGAGAAACATGATAGATTCAAAATTAACTACTCATATACTTAACTATTAAGCAAAATTTTGATGATTATGCTTTTTCATTGAACGAGAGTGGAGTGTGCTTGTGCGTTGTGTTGGATGCTAGCGAAATAACGACGATACTTATAATTTATGAAGTTTCAACTATGATAACATATAAAATACACAACCATGTTGATATTTGAACTTATTCATACTTGTGTTGTATGCACAATTATTATCCGATGCATAATACTCATGTGTTGGCACTTCACAAACATGTTATTATATAAACTTTCACACACACACACACAAATATATAAACAAGTGTATACTATGCTAGATGACAAAGTGATATTAAAAAGGATAATAATAGGTGCACATCATGGTTGGACACACTCGGTTATATATTAGTTTCATATTCAAATGCTTAGCTATTAAGCAAAATATTAATGTTACACTTTATTCTTGAGTGAGAGTGAGTGTGTCTATGAACGTGAATTGTGCAAAATGGTAGAGTAATGTTGAGAATGTTCACAATTTTAAAATGTGTCAAATATAGAAATGTATTGAATACAAAAACCTATTGATATATGGACTATTTTACATGTGTATTATATGTATAACTATAATTTGATGCACAATACTCATATGTTAGCACTTGATAGGACAAAAATTAATTTTTAAATACTAATTGTTAAGCAAATACTTGATAATTATATTTTCGTTTTTTGAATAAATGTTCATATGAATATGCTATGTTGCATGATAGAATGATAGTGAAAATAATAATAATAGGTGTAGATCATGGTTGCACATAATTGTTATTTTTATATCTAAATTTATTTTGGGCATTAGCCCAAAAATTAGATAGAAAAGATAAATAAAGTCTAATCAAATTCTTCAATTGATTCTTTAGTGGGTTCTTTTTAATATGCTTTTTGATTGGCTTCACTTAAAGCCCACTAGAAATTTTCTATTTAGAAGAGGTAGCTCTTAACTCATTATGCCTAACACTCTTAGCTCAACTAATCATTCCAGATGAAACCACTAAAAAGCTTTCAAAAAGTTAAAGAGAGGCAAAAACAAAGGAAAACATAGGAGAACGATCCCATTTTTAAATGAGAATAATCAACAAGTCAATATAAAGGTAGTCGAAGAGTAACAGAATTTTTAGAGTGATAAGAGCATGATACAAATAGTTAGAAGGAATGTGAGAGATTGTAACATAAGAATAACAACATAGAGTAGATAACGTGATGCTTCACAACACAAGAAAAGAAAAACATGAATGCATTGTAGCAAAAGAAAAGAACATAGAGTAATACAAAATATGTGAAGGGAAGTGGTCCATTATAAGAGATTATAAAGGAACAAAAAGTCCTATAAATATTAGTTGTAATAAAAGAAAGATTCATGACAATACAACACACAAGCAAGACTCTTGCAAATTGTATACAACTCAAGGAGCACTTTTACAAGTTTCAACATTTCAAACTTATTATGTAATAGCTTATAGGCAATAACTTGTAGATAGTAATTTGTACGTAGTAATTTATAACCGTAATCAAGTAGGTTATAATTTATAAATTGATAGTTGGTTCTTGGTTCTATGTTAGTACTTACAACAATCACTATCCTCATATCTTTCAAGATTTATCATGATTGGAGTGCCAACTTGAGAATATCTACGATTTTTTTTACTCGTAAGTTCATTATTTTTTATTTGAAAGCATTGTAAAGATTGTAACATTTGTTATAAAGCCTTTAAGTTTGTGCTTGTTGGGTTTTTTGTTCATATTATACCCTGTAGTTCTTAGTGTTTTTAATGTTTAATTTGTTTTTTTTATTCATATTACATCCCGAAGTTCTTAGTTTTTAGTTTAGTTTTGTTGTTTTGATTGTTTATTAGGATAAAAAAAAACTCAATTATTAGTTTGATTTATTTTTTATTTTAAGTTATTGTCCTTGCAATCCCGCAACCTAACTAGTTTCGAAGGTTGTGATTTCCTACCAAGGGTTTCTAGCCCTATTATAGTCTATTTAATTTAATTTAGTTTGGTTTTCTTATAACATAAAACACTAAAAAATACCATTAGAATTAACAACAGTTTATTTTGCAATACTTATTTGATTCATCTACCTATATGATTGAGAGATTGATTATCCTACAAAACTCTTCTCAATTATCATTTGTATTCTTTTGTTACAAAGTCTTATAGTGGAGACTGACACAAAAGAATCAGATCATGTATTAGTTTCTTACTCAAATACTTAGTCATTAAGCAAAATCTTAATGATTAATGGCACTTCATTCTTGAGTGAGAGTGGGCTTGTCTATGAATGCGAGAAATATTGGATGCTAGACTAATATTGAGAATAATCATAATTTTATGAATTGTCAAATTTAGTAATGTCTAGAATATACAAATACGTTGGCATATGAATTATCTCACACGTGCATGTTTTAGCATTTGATAGATAAATATTAGTTACTTAGATACTAATTGTTGGGCAAACACTTGATAATTGTACTTCTGTTTCAGAATGAGTGTGAATATGAAATGCACTATACCAGATGAAAATGTGACATTGAAAAAGATAATGATAGGTGCATATTATGGTTGCACACATAAGTTATGTATTAGTTTCTTACTTAAATACTTAGCATTAAGCAAAACCTTAATAATTACATTTCCTTCTTGAGTGAGAGTGGGTGTATCTGTGAACATGAGTTGTGTTGAATGTATAAAATGCTTACAGTTTATGAATTATTTTGTCAATTAATTACATGTTTAAAATTAATGATCCCATAACATCTTATACATAGATGCTACTACATATACTTTTAATCAATTAGAAAATGATCCTCCATAATCGATGTTGAAAAATACAATGATAGTACACACTAGTTACTAATTTTCTTAGTTTTTTTTTTATTGAGAATTTCTACGATATTATGAAATAATACAGAAGATAGAAAATTACTCAAATATGTCGTTAGAAAATTTTAAAACCATAGGAGCAGAAGTGGAATACTTATAAACTTGGGGGACTGTGGGAGTAAAAATATAATTTAGACAAAACTTAATCTGCATTTGTGGTATTTACGTTATTTGCTAATGAAAATTTACTTAGGAACCATATTGTTTTTACATTTGCAAGAAGTTCATCCTTAAGTTAATAACCGTCACACCACCACTTGACACTTCACAACTCTTCACTTCCTCACACCCACTCAGCCAAAATGGCCACCACCGGCGACTCCTCCAAGCCCACCACCAAAAAACGCAAACCCAGAAAACCCAAAATCACCGCCACCACCGAACAACAAGTCATTTCCATCCTCAACTCCGTTTCATCCGTCGCTCACTCATTCCTTTCCCAAAACGACCTTTACCTCCTCCCTTCCCAAACCCTCCAGCTAGAATCCCTCCTCTCCTCCCTCCCCCTCCTTTCTTTCAGTTTCCTTCACAACCCTCCCTTTTCCACCGCTTCCTTTCCTCCGCCACGTCAGATTTTGACCATCGTTGGGTCCACTTCTTTCGCCTCTCAAGACCCACTTTTTATAACCTTCTTTCCCTCGTTTCTCCTTCTCTATGTTCCTCCCTTCCCTCCACAATCCCTCCAGAAACTGCTCTTGCATCCGCCCTGTTCCGCCTTGCCCACGGTGTGTGTTATAAAGCAGTGGCGCGTAAGTTTGGTTTGGACTCCTCTGAGGCGTCCTGCCTTGCGTTTTATTCAGTTTGTAAAGCTGTGAATGATAAACTTGGGGACTTGTTTGAGTTTCGCCGCGATTTGGAGAGAATCGTGGTGGGTTTCGGGTGGATTTCGCTTCCGAATTGCTGCGGTGCTTTAGGATTTGGGAGGTTTGGGGTTGATGGTGAGGTTTTTGGGAGAAATGGGTCAATGCTGGTGCAGGCTTTAGTGGATTCTGAAGGGAGATTTTTGGATATTTCTGCAGGGTGGCCTAGCAGTATGGAACCGGCCGCTATTTTTAGACAAACTAGGCTCTTTTTGGGGGTTGAGGAATCAAGGGAGTTGTTAAAGGGGCCGAGTTATATGCTAAGCGATGGCTGTTCAATCCCACAATATATAATGGGAGATTCTTGTTTCCCATTGTTGCCTTGGTTATTAACTCCTTACAACGAGGAGAATAGTTTTGGTTCGGCGGAGAGAGAGTTCAATGTGGCACACAGTAGAGCAATGGGGTTGGTTAGCGTTGCATTTGGGAGAGTTAAGTCTAGGTGGCAACTTTTGGCGCAGAGATGGAAAGATGATTGTTTGGAGTTCTTGCCTTTTGTTATTGTTATGGGGTGTGTGTTGCATAATTTCTTGATTAAGTGTGGTGAGCCGTTTCCGGAGGAGTGTATGGGGGCCTTCTTAAAAGAGGAGGATTTGCTGGTTTTTGAAGGTTACGGAGATGAGACTGGACAGACGATTAGGGATGCCCTTGCACAGCACTTGAGTCGGGTCAGTATGAGAAGGTGAATGGTGTAAATAGTTATGTTTTGTTGTTGTCATCTTTTCTGTGTTTTTTTCTTTCTGATGGATAATTTTTGTTGCAGTCCACCTTACTTTTCTGTAAATAAATAATGTTAGTATTGGATTTTCATGTCTTATTTAGCCTGCTTTAGCTGCAGTATACCTATTCATTTATGCACATATGACTTTGCATGTGCTGTTTTGTGTCTCTGCATTGGTTTGTTTTGGGTGGGGGGATTAAATCTTTCACAGGATTTGGATGTAATCAAACATGACATTTATTTAGCTATTCTTATCACCTTGTGGATGAGGCTGAGAATATCTAATTGCTTGTTCCTTTGGGTATGCGAACTATCTTAGTCTAAAAAATGACCAAAGACTCGGATGATAAAATACTTTAGATTTGATCAATTTATTCCTTTCATACCTACATCAGAGTACTGAAAGGATCATGCTTTCTATGATTAATGGGAGCCTATGAATCCCACATAGGTCGCAAGATTAAGCCGTGTTTGGTAATCTATGGATTTGCTTGCTGTGTAGATTTTAGCAGATTGGAATGATACTATTTTTCTTAGTTTCCTTAATTGTAAGCAATTTTTATTGTAACGATTATTATTAACATTGTAATTCCATTGTTGATTACAAGGAGAGAAACATATAATGCATTTGCCGTTTATATCATTTGGATGCTGTGGAAGATACTATATACAGACTCACGAATTACATGTAATGCCTGCATAAACATAAAAGGAAATTCTTGTCTAAATTGAAGTGAAGATGTAGGATTTAATATTTTGTGTTGTTTCTGTTTAGCTGTATTATAACTAGTATGACATAGTATCATTTTGGATTGCATATGTTGCATGGACATGATTATCATCGATGTGACTTCTATGCTAAAACACTCACCATTGTTTGAATGATGAAAGCAAATATTGATTTGCTTATTTGTTCAGTAAAACATTTGCACCATTCCTCATGCATGAGCTATCTTACAACAGAAATCAAGTGCTTTTGCACCTTACTGCATGCATGAGCCATCTTACAAAAGAAATTAAGTTTGATGATGACATGTTGGTATTTGAACTTAACAGTGTACATTATCATTAATATTGGGTTCGTGGGCTGTTGTATATGAAGTTCTTGTTACAAGTGAGGATGGACTTCAGATGTTTTCATTATAAAATGTTCCGTATAAATCTTTAGCTTCAGTTTTTTAATAGATAATGATGAAGAGAGTTACTACTGAAACTAGATTAGTGGTTCTGGCTTGAGTTCTAAGTGCATCTTTTGAGCTCCAAAAAACAAAAAATGCCTCCTCTTGAAAGAACAAGTGACTAACTTTTAAACTCTGAATTTTGGAACTACCTGTTGAACTGGCTCTAGAATCGTCTCTAGAAAGGAGTTATATCAGCGAATCCATAACAATGATTTAGCGAGAGTTATTGTTAGTCTCTTGGAGAAAAATAAATGAACAGAGTCTTGCAAAGGCGAAGTCTAACCCTTGGATCTTAGTGTATCTATTGACCTTGGAAACAATTTTGATTAAATTTCAAATAAATTCAATCGTATAGGCAGATACAGGCAAGAAATAGAGGAGCATTTTGGATGTTAAACATAATATTGAACAGAAAAGTAAGGCAAATGACGGAAACACTGTTTTACACTGCTTTGGCCGAAGGAAAAATAGGAAAAGAAGGAAAGGGGAGGAGGGAACACCACGCTAGAGACATTTTACAAGGTCAATCAGAATTGATAGCATGGACTTGATACATCTATACGCAAGGCTGTGAAAACCTGAACCTGGCTAGCCCGGGAAGATTGTCAACAAGGAAATAGTAGCAACGATTGACACTCTCTCCAATGAAGTAAAACCATGCTTGTCACCATCGAGGGTTTATGTACAAAACTGAAGCTATTCCCAGCAACACCATGAAGTAAGACACCACAAAGGTCACATAGAAAGCACCTTTATCTACGAAACTGTCATCTTCTTTATCGTTGCTTGAAAGTGTTGGCATTGATGGTGGTGGAACTGTTTCACTGCAATTTTTTGGTAAGGGCAGTCCGCAAAGGAAAGGATTTTCCTCATAGCTACTCTTGTCGAATGTTGCAAATTGTGCAACCCTCTCAGGTGTTTTGCCAGATAAATTATTGTGGGCTACGCTAAAAACAGCTAGAAAATATAGTTGAGTAAGCTGAGGAGGGATGGTCCTGTTCAGATTGTTGAAAGAGAGATCCAAGTTCTCAATTTCCTTCAAGTTGGAAAATCTTGGGGGGATCAGTCCTGCCAATCTGTTGTGGGACAAGTTCAATGCCTGGATCTTGCTAAGGTTTCCAAACTCAGGAGGTATCTTGCCTGTCAAATTGTTGCAGGAGAGGTCGATTCCAGAGATGTAGTTGAGAGTGCTTCCTCCGTAAGAATAGGATCTACTCTTTGTAGTAAACCCTAGTGATTCTTGCTGGGAAACATTGCTGGAATCCGAGGACCAATCTCTACTAGATTTCAAGCAAGCGAGAACAGGACCAAGAAAGTTATTACAAGACAGATCAATCAGGTGTAATTGTTCCAACTTGCATAACTGAACTGGGATTTCACCAGTGAGATTATTATGACTCAAGAGAAGAAAGCTCATCTGAGAAAGCTTGCCAATCCATTCTGGAATATTGCCAGTCAAACCATTATGGCTAAGATCTAACGTCATCAGCTCAGAGCAGTTGTAGAATGCATCTGAGAATGATCCTTCCAGTCTATTTTTAGTCAAATAAACATGTCTCATATGTGGAGGGTTGAGACCTGTTAGTAGACTTCCAGAGATATTGCTATTTGAAAGGTCCAGAACTTCAAGAGAAGACATATTCCCCATCCACTTTGGGATCATTCCTGAGAGATGGTTCTCACTGATATCCAATATCACCAAAGAGGAGCAGTCAGACAAGCTATCTTGGATACTTCCAGTGATTTGATTGCCATCCATTTGCAATAAACCCAGTGAGCTCATATTGCTGAATGAAGAGGGAATGCTACCATTGAAATCATTTCTGGAAATGCATGAACTATACAACGATGGCAACCGTGCTGCAAAATCCATTGGTATTTGGCTGTGGAAGTTGTTGTAGGATATATCCAAGGATCTCAAATTCATATGAAGTTGAGTTGGTAAGTGGAGAGGTCCTGTAAGAGCATTATTGACTCGCTCAAGGACATGTAAGTTTGTATTGTTATCTAACAACCAAAATGGAAACTATCCACTTATTTCAATGTCAGAGAGATGGATATATGTTAAGTTGTACTGATGGTAGAGGAATGTGGAAAATGCTCCACCATATCCATACCCATGACTTGACAAAAGGAGTTCCTCTAATTGGAATTTCGGGGTCATGCTATTTGCCTCTATTTCCTCATGTAGTTCATTGTTAGAACCATCAAAGTACTTGAGGTTTGAATGGTTGAAAAATGGGCTCAGTGAGATGGTGGTTTTAAAGTGATTGTCTGAAATACTTAGGTCTTGGATGGAAGTGAGACTTGTGAGGGGAGATAAAGATATATTTCCACTGAACTGGTTGGAAGAGAGGTCTAACATTTGAAGGGATGTCAAATTTTCCAGAAACCAAGGAATGGTACCATTCAGATTATTGTGTCCGATGCCTAGCTCTTGGAGGTTCTTCAGCTCACACAGACCTGTAAAATGTTTATCTAAAAAGAAAGAGAAAAAAACCTTCTGTTATTGCATGATGATCCAATCCAATCTTTCTTTAGAAGAAAATTTTCAGTAATCACTACTCTGAAAATGAATCATGGATTTAATAGGAAATTTCAGGCACGCTTTTTGAAATTGAATACTGTGGGATAAGTTGACATCTTCAAAGAAAACAATTCTGCAAGAAAGCAGCTGCATCTAACCTTCTATGTTCAACGATCCTTTAAGATGATTGAGCCCTAAATACAGAGCTTTGAGAGATGAAAGCCCACCGATGTACGATAAAATGCTGTTGTCAAAGAGATTATCACTCAGAGAAAAGAGCTCCAAATTCCTCAAACTTGGTATTCTTCCAGCACCTGCAGAGACATCATATGATTTCATGCACGGATTACTATTTACATGGGTTCAGACCTTTTTACAGGAAGTAATGGAGCGAAGATTAAGTAATACCAGGGAAGGATTTAAAGCCTTCAATTTCATTGCTCTTCATACCCAACTTCTTCAAGCTTCTTAGATTACTCATTTCTGTCCACATATATGCAAATGACACACTGGCACTGTAAATAGGGAAGGGCAGCAGTTTTCGGTTTTCTTGGCAGAAAAAGGGCAACTCAGGCAGTTAAGCTCACCTTGAATGTTAATTATTCCCTTGAGTCCATTATTGTACAGGTTCAAGAATTGTAAAGATGAAAGACCACCTAGAGATGATAGAATAGAGTTGCCGAAGTTGTTTTCACTCAAGTCCAGAATCTCCAAAGTGCCAAGTCTCGCTAGCTTCTCAAAACCTGCATGAGAGTTCGACTCAACAGCTGTGATCCAAAGCTTTTTTTTTTTTTTTTTTTTTTAGAAAAAAGAAAACCCATTAGAAATTACAATAAATGCAAGACAAACCTTCGTTCTCAAGACAATTAACTATACGATTTCCAGTCAAGTCAAGAGTCCTCAGCTCTCGAAGAGGAAGAAACAAAGAGGCGTTTAGGTAGAAATCCGCCGAGTCCTGATCCCTTATGTACCTAAGAAAGAGCTGTGGTGTTATTGCACTCAACTCTGATTCCCCATGCACAACAGTCTGGTTCTTGATCCCAAGCAGGAAGGGTTGTGCCATTAGGATATATAATTGAAGGAAGCTTTGAGTTGTAAGAGTGCAATTCTCTCTTCCTCCAAACAACCTTGACACCTCCATAACTCCAATAAAACCATCAACACTACCATGCACAACTGTTTTAAGCCCATCTGTATACGCTAAAATCTAGAACACTCGCTGCTAGCTCCCTACAACTTCCTTGCATTGGGCAAGCAGCGGCTTTAGGCTTTTAAAGGGGTTTAGGCTGTGCAAAAGTTTGTCGTGGTGTATATATTTACGATTATTTTTTTCTTAAAAACAAAAGTTCTGGTGGTTATTGTTGTTAACAGCGATGATGATTTTTGAGAATTATCAAAAGGGTGAGAAATTTGGCCCTCATGGTAGTCTTTTCATCTGTGAACCGTAAACCAGCTCGTTTACCATCACCATCAAATCAAATGGCATAATTTTCTACAACGGCAGCCTTATCTTTTGACATTAATCAGTGCAATAACCCAAGGAAAGTATTGGCGTATTAAATCAGTCTAGTCCCATGTCAAACTTAATTTTGTTTCTTCAACAATACCTTGACTTTGCGTAACCTACCTGAGAAGACCGTTACTCAATTCCTCTACATTAGCTCGCACCGTTACTCAAATTACATTGAATGATAATGAAATTTAATAGGTATTTCGAGTTCTAATATTATCATGTTGTTATACCCAATATTCAGTGCATGAAAGTGGATAGTTATAAAAGAAAATAGGAAAATTAGGAAGAAAATATAAGTTTTTTTTTTTTTTTAAAAAAACAGAGACATGATCGAGAGGAATGTATAGCATGGAGAAAACGCAAGAGAACATGGAGTATTATGAAAGATTATGAAAGAGCCACAAGTCTATAAATACAGATTCTAGTGAAGATAAATCAAAGAGAATCAATAACAACAATCAATTTAACAATATATACTTGCAAAAAGAAAAGAAACTCTCAAGTTTCAGCAATTTGGAAATTTGTTAAACAATAGATTATAAGTTGACAATTTGTAAGTTTTTAAATTTGTAGATTGATAAATTTTAGACTGATAGTTTGGTTCTTTGGTTTCATTTTGTGCTTTCAATTTCTGTTTGTGATCCTCACGAATTGAATTAACATTATATCCAGAGAGAAAATCTCAATTTGAAAGTATCTATTCTCATCAATGAATGCAAGTTTTTTTTTTTTTTAAAGAGTTTGAGCATTTTTAAATTTGCGTCAGCTGTTTTTTTTTTAGCAGCCACTTTTTCATTCTTTTATTACAAAATCGTCTTCATTGAAACAGAACTAAATAACCCACAAAACACAGGGGCTAGCTTGAAAGCCTTAAAGTACTAATTAATTTCACTCTCTCATCTTTCATTCTAACTTAACATGACGAAGGTTAGACTTATTTAAAAAAATACTAATAAATTTTGAAAATTTATTGATGTTGTTATTTATATGATCAGAAGCTGGGGGTGAGAATCCTTGATGTGAGTACTAGTTAATTAACGTGGTGGCAAAGCTAGTTGATGACAAGAGACTCAGAAAAACAAAAAAGGAGCCTTGAAATTTGATTTGGTTCGCATTCATGCTGACATTAAAGGAAAGATATTATTGTTATTTTGTTTTACAGCTAAAAATGTTTTCGGTTTAGCTTTCATATTTCGAGTCTAAGTTCACTTCTATGCTATTATCAACGACTGTCTATCCACACCAAAACTAGAAAATTTTACTTGTCATAAAGTCCTAACAGTTTAGGAGGGAGAACATCTTCTTAACCATCAGGTCGACTTTCATGGCAAAAGTAAGCATACTACATCTATGATCTTAAGTAGGAAAGGAAGTGTGCAGGGAGTATTGCATCACTGCACTTAAATGAGACTCTCATTTGGTGCGACTTAAAAAGGAGAAAATACATGTTGCATTGGGGTGAATCTGAGCATGTTTCTGTTCAATGTTAGATATAGTAGAGAACGGTGCAATTATTCTGGTACAGTATAGTTCAGAAATGGTTCCTGACAGCTCTAAATCCTTTCAGAATTTCATACCACTGGAAAATAAGGCATTAATGGGGTGAATCTTCAAATCTGGAGAAACCAAATTAATCTCATATTCATCGTACTTGACCTTGATATTTTTTATTAAGGAAAAAAACTTTTGGAGACAACCTTGAAGTTTATTACTGACTAGCTTGTGTATTCAGACACATTATTATCAGGAAAGTTTTCGGAACAACATTTCATTAGTCCCGAGACTTGATAGAGAAGATGCTAATTCTGAATGCCTGATCAAAGAGTTTTACAAGATAATTTTTCCTGTATTGAAACAGAAAAGTATGCACATTTCAATGCTTATTAACTGTACAATTTTAAGTCAATAACCCAGGTCTTCATCCTGCATATGTGAAAATGCCATGGTTTGTCTAAGTTATCCATGACACCTTCACTTCAATCTGCAGACAAAACTCCAAAAATCTTTCATACCTAGCTTAGTAGCGAATACTTCTAGTGCAACCCATGAAAAAAAAAAACAACCAGAATCTTCTACCATGCAACAGTTTCTTAGTCACTAACCTGTTATGGTGCTAAGCTTACATAAACGTCTACGTTTACCATGTCATGGCCTCTAAATTAGAGGAGGCGCTTTGCAGATGAGGAATTTTTGGCGCAGGTTGCACAACAAGACATCAATCCCTTCAATCCTGGTTCTCTAGGGAATGAACTTGACGTCTCACGTCTCTGCAGAACTCTTATAAACTCATCTGAACTTAAGCTTCCATCGCGATTAGCATCGAACACATGGAATATTATGTCAACCAAATCATCGGTGATCGAGATGCCACATACCTAGTAAAATATAAATCACACATCAGCATGAGAAGTAAGAAAATGAACGGAAAGCTAGAAGAAATGTAACAATCAGCTTATATATACTTGTGATGAAGCTCTCTGGAAATCTTTTTTCGTTAATGCCCCATTCACTTTTCCATAACTAAAAATGGCCAGAGATAAATTCTGCAACTGTTTACGTAGCTCTGCGAAGTTTTTGAACTCCTCAAAGGTAAATCGTATGTCTCTTAGCTGTGGTTCATTGCTTACTTCGTCTACCCGATCGAGTAGCTTGCTTACGTGGCTAATGTCAGCTGATGCAACCAAGGATAAGGCAAAATCTTTAGCTGATATAGTACCGCATGATCTGTAATCGTAATGGGCGAATTCCAGCCGTAAAATCTGTAAAATTCAACAGAGTCAGTTCTTATGAATCATATTCGAGTACAATGAGTCAATGATCATGAACAGAATCAAGAATGAGGATTCATCAGAGTATAATTGATTGAAACTGGTACTCCTCTTCTATCTGTATGAATGGATATTATTACATTCCAATTCTATCCCGACATGGCGACACCTCCCAAGGAAAATCCTGAAAACTTTAAAACCCTTTCATGACAGGTTAAACTGTAATGGAAAATAGGGAAAATATAAACACATACTTCATCATGAAAGTCCCTCAAAAATTGGACAAATTTTTCATGTTGTAGACAGATCTTGCCATCTTTGCCGAAGAAGTATTCTAAGAGGCCACCATTCTCTACAGGCTCTGCTATTTTGAACCCATATCGCCTTCCATCTCTGTGGCTTGCCCCTTGCCTGTTTTGAGCTCTCATTAAACTCATCACCTTCTTAAATTCTTCTCTGTCAATTTGTCTGTTATAAACATGTAGTCATTTAAATAAGCACAGATGGGAAATAAAAGAAGCACGAAGCAAATTGTGCTATAAATATCAATGAACTTTAATATTGTTTTATTAATCTGTACATGCTGAACAATGAAACATGTGGCTGTATGTCCAGAAGAATGCAAGTAAATTAACGCATGAAAAGATTTTCGGCGAGAGAAACGCAATTCATATTTCTTCCGAGCTGAATGTCTTCACTGTGAGTTACAGCTTCTTGGTTAGGTCATCTGCAATTGCACATAGTTCTTAGAAAATCTTGAAACTTCATGCAACTCACCCGTTATTGTCGAGGTCAAACATCTTAAATGCGACAGAAAAGCTTGATTCAGGAATGCTGAGTAGGGTAACAAAGAAGATGTACCTAAACGTTGAACATGAAAACAACCAATTAAGAACACAAGTTTCTGTGACAGAATATGCGATGTAGCACGATTGATGTTAAAGAGCTTCACAAGGCCAACAAATTCGACAGAGCCAATAGGCACTTACTCTGGAAAAGAAATGAGTCCATCACCATTAGTATCGAAAAGCATGAAAAATTGTGAAGGTGCACATTGTAATTCCCCAGGGACTCGTTCCCCTCTCAGAAATCCCTCTCTAACGCGATTTGACTCGGATGGAGGAAATACAGGAACAACTGCTCGCATCAAGTCTGCTGGTGTCATAAGAATTTCACCATCAGGTGTTTGAAAAGATGCAAAGTACTCAAAAACCTGAAAGGCAAATAAATGGAACATTATGCGAACAAAAGCATCATATAGAACTAAGCATAATTCCTTCCACACCAAGGAAAATAAAAAAAATTAGAAGAGAAGGGAAACAAATGAAAAGTTAACTAAGTGACAAGAAGATCATTCCTGCTAAAACTAGGAGGAGTTGGAGGTTAGTGGGTTTGGGACAACTGACTTTCTTTCCACTTCAGCTTTAATGGGTGCTCTTATCTCAAGGACAGCAACGTTGTCCTGATACACATCCTTAACTCTCCGACATAACAAACCCCTAGACCCTAGCCATATTTGAAGGCTTTTTCTATCCTATAGTTACCTTCAAGGTCAACTTTGTGATTTTTTTAGCGATGTTCAGGGCCATTGCCGGATGCATCAGCAATTGATGAGTCATTTAAAGGTTTCAAGCTTCCCTGATTAGACAATCAGGTAAAGCATAAATGTCCTATGAATGGTTTTAACGTAGTCCATTGCTGAATCAGTGACTTGGGAATCATTTACTGCTTGGGTTGTGAGAAGTACGGGAGCAGTTCTTTTATATCTCTGCCAAGCCTCCAGCAGGGCAATCAAAGCCTTGAAGCACTTTTAACATTGCCTCGGGCAAGGCATAGCCTTGGCTTCACATGGCTGCAGATAGCCTTGCTTGCTAGGCAGCTATGCCTTCATTGGGAAAGCTTAGCTAGCATCACTATCTTGGAGAGACAGGATTGAGATCTAATGTGTAAGACATGCTTGGCTTGACCTTGCCAACACCAGGCTTGGCCCGTAGGATATGCCAATCAATGAAAGTGCATGGAACATACTTAAAATTATAGAGAATAGGTAAATAAGAAAAAGAAAGCTTTGTCTCCAGACAGCAAATCAAATAACAACAGAGCCCATTATTGAAGTTTTCATTGCTTAAGTTGGACAAGTAGAGTCTGCAAATGAATTGAGTTGCCAATAACGTAGTGTGAATTGAATGCTGGCATATATACAATGGAAATATTACCTTCCTGAAAGATTTACGTACCTTTTCTGGGGGGCTTTGCAGCCTTATGCGCTTTTCGTAATTGAAGAAAACTCTTCTCCTGTATGACTCTGAAACAATTGGCAAAATGATAAAAAGGCGTTCAGAGTACTCAATATCTGCTAATGCAAACTTGCATATCATCCCTTGTGCATATGCAATAAAAAATATTATGGAAAAAGAAGTGGATACATGCATACATATATATATATATATATATATATATATGACTCAATTCAAAAAATGAAATTGCAAGCTGATGAAAAAATAGTAATGAAAGAGGTACCTCCAAAGAGGAACCTTTTCTGTTTCGTAGGTGGAAGAAGATCATCATTTGACATCCATGCTGCATCGTCTGCACTGTCGGCGAAAGACACAGACGAACTCTTATTAACCAATGAAGGATACCAGTAGCTGGAGCCAACAATCACAACTCCTGAAGCGACTGATCTTAATAAAAATTTCAGCAATGCATCTCTACTCTTAGGGCCACCATGATTGGACCCACCAAAGGATGATCTTGACAATGAATCAGACCCTTCTGATTGCTTGAACAATCTTCGCGTGCAGGTCCGTTGATTGACAAGCACTCGACGGCCCAACTCTGAGGATTTCCTCAGGAATTCCCAAGAAAACATAGTAGTGAAAATTGCTTTCTTTGTTCTTACAACAGAAAAGGCTGAAAAGATTTCTACATTGAGAAATAGACAAATGTAATAGAAAGATGGAAATGGAATTTCAGCAGAAATCAAGAATGGTATGGTTGACCGAGAAAGATGGAGTTGGTTATGGTTTTTCAGAAGTTAGTTAAGGTAGTTGCTTATGGTCAGACAGTTAAGCCCGCCCTTTAGATTTTCCTTGGTAGCTGCTAATTACTTGTGTCAAACGTACAGTGAACCATGAAATCATTACATAATACGTTCTCCATTTGTAGTGACTTGAAATTTCATAGAATTTTGATATCACAGTTGATAAAGATAGGGTTTGAATTCGAAACTTCTCACTTGTTTTACAAGATTATCATTAAGCTACAAACCGACTGGTCATAATTAAAAATTGAGTTTTATCTTAGGATTATTAATTTAAATGTGGAATTATTTGCATACTATATTATATATTTGTTTCTATTATATTATACGAAAAAATAAAAAATGGAATTGTTCTTATATCCAATTTGCTTGCTACAAGGAAAAGGAATGGCCGAACACCTATACTACATTTTTTAGCTCAAATTTTAATTTTGAATCCATGGTTGGGAGGAGTATTAAATCTAACATCTAAATTTTTCCCTACAATTTTCTTCTTCTTCTCCTTATTCTTTTTTTTTTTTTCCGAAGGAAATATTCAAATTCAGGACTTTTTTATTTTGAAAAGAAGGACATTTATTTCAATCGAACTACATTTCATTGGCAATTTTTTCTTAATTATGACTAATTGTTAAAAAAATGAAGTAAAATTATGAGAAATAAAGTTTTGTTGTTGAAAATTTAGGGAAACTTATTATTATAAAAAAATAAAATAAAACAAATAACACAGTCCCTACAAAAACCTTACTTAATTCCTTCAAAATACATGAAATTACGCTCAGCCTGTCATGAATTTATTTTTTTATTTTTATTTTTATCATTGTTGTATTAAATCTAATTCAGAGCTCATCTAGCTTAAGCCTGGTTTCTGAAGTCATGAGGTTAAGAATGTCTTTGATCAAAACCAATTGTGCATGAAAGTAATTCAATGCACTAAAATTTTAAATGAAATTATCTTTAATACAATAATGCCTTTATTTTAATTATAAAAAAATAATATCTTTAACTATCTTATCAATTTTTCAATGGAGGTATTTTGTTTTATTACCTGAGTGATAATAGAATGAAATCCTAATCTCTCTCTCTCTTTTTTAATTGATTAGAAAAAAATCTCAATACAACTATTTAAATTATGTATTAAATGATCCTTATAAATTCAATTCTGTTATTAATTTGTATAATTAATAAAATATATTATATTATAAATCAAGTAATTCTACATCATTGTTGCTGAGAGAAGGAATATAATTCAATATTTCATTGTGTCTTTGATAAAATATGCCCAATAAAGAATGTAATAAAATTCCAAAGATAAATTGAAAGGAACTCTAATATTGCAGTACACAAGAAACAATTAACATACATAATCCAATTTTTGAAAACATAGACAAATTTCAATAACATATTGATGGAATCTAGAAGAACCCAACCAATTCAAGAAATTCTTATAACCTAAAAAAATAAAAATTTTGCATTCATTTGTTCTCTGGAACCTAATTAACATTTTTAAAGACTTCACTTTTTCATGCAGTCATGTTAAGATAAAAGGAAATTTCCTAATATATAGGAAGGAACTTTAGTTTTCTTAAGATTAGAAATGTAAAAATTAAGAATACAACAAAATTATGCATATCTTTTTTATCTATTTAAGATAAAATTTGTCATTAACTTCCTAATATATATGAGCATTTAGTTTGAATTTAGGCCATATGTTTTTAGTAAAGTGTTTTCCTTTCTTGATTTTCCCATACGTTTAATTACGCTTTGGAAAACTAGTTAACAAAATTAATTCTCCTTTTAGTCTAAAGAAAAACTAAGTTTTAATGGAAAAAAAGCGTTTTTTTTTTTTTTTTTTCATTTAAAGAAGCGATCGAAAACCCTTTTCATATAGGATTTAAGAACTACAATACGCCAATTCATTGTTTTTATACGTAAATGAATATGAATATTTTAATAAAATGCTTTAAAATATATAATATTATTAGAAAACAATAAATTATTAATATATAATTATTCTGTAAAACTTTGTATTTTTTTAATTGTAATGGTACACATGGTTTTCAACATTGTACTAACATCAACAAATAACTTTTGCATCCCTTAAAAATTGCTCAAGTATATATTAGTCATGTATTAATTCACCTTTGATCTTAACTTATACCTTAAGCAATCTTGGGACAAGATTGGATAATTTTTTCATTTATTCCATGAGAAATATTGGTATTTTCGTACTAGTTTATATCATCAATTGTGACTATACGTTCTCTCTATACAATTTTCAGGACACACATCCTACATCCGGATGTTGTCCTCAAGTTAAGAAAGAGAGCACAAAGTAGGAGATAAAAAATAAAAAGTACAAAGTTTAATTATTATATCTACATATGTGGATAAAATAGAATAATTGACACAAACAAAGGACAAATTCAAGAGTTTTGCCCCATAGAACATATGTTATAGTTTCTATCTGAATATTCATGGAATTACATATATTTATTTTTATTTAGATAACATAGTGATTATATTTATAATTATTCCAATTAACACCATAAATGACTAAATTCCCGAAGATTATTATACAAACTTCTCCATCCGTTGACAAGTTAAATTACTAAATTCCTTTTTTAACCTTTTGAGTTTAAATCTTGAGGTTAGCATAAAAAAAAAATTAGTAATTTCTTTTGAATTCATCAGATCAATAAGGCAATGTGGCTTTAAAATTTTTTCAAAAAAAAAAAATCTTGATTTGTGAAAAAATTTAATCTTGATTAGCGTGCAAGCTGATTTGAACATACTTCTTACCATTGAAATCAATTCACTCCATACAAATTATGTAAATTTACTAATCTCTTTAAATTTTTTCAAATTCCCACTTGAAGGACCATTTTACTTATTTTGAATTTATAGTTCATCAAAAGGAACTTGAATTCTGCACAGGCAATTAAATATTTATGGGACTCTTAATATAGCTTAAAATTTTTATTTTGTCTCATTTACTCCTTTCAAATTTGAATATTTTTTTCAACCTTTTCTCTTCCGTCTATTTATGCATTAAATGAAGTGATGACTTGGCATTTTTTTTGCCCTCAATTAACACTATTGGCGGTTGAAAAATTAGCAATTTCACAAAAAAAAAAAAAAAAAAAAACACCTAACCAATAAAGATTTAGTCCCAATGCACTAAAATCGGCCTAAAGATTCTATTTACATTTGCTTTTAATTTTTTTTAAAAGGATTCAAGGTCAATTAAGAGTTCCCTTTTAAGATTATTGGATAAAAAGTTACTTTTAGGATTTTTATTGTAACAATACACATGTTTCTTACCTCTCCCCAAACAATATTAACAAATATAACTTTTGCATATCTCAAGAATTACTTAACTAATAATTAGCCATGTAATAATTCACCACTAACCTTAACTTCATATATACAATGAGAACTTAAGGAGAAGATCTTTAAATAACAAAGGGCATAAATTTTCCAAATTTAAAACACATGGGTAAAATTGAACAAAATTAGAAAAACACGGGTAATAATTAGCCATGCATTTTATACTTTCTTATCTCGATACTTATCAAATTAAAGTAATTATTTTTATTGTCTCTTAATATATGGTATTTCAACATTTTTCTTGTGATATATTTAATATTTCATAGTATTAAAATTTACATTTTCCATTGTTTTTTTTATTTCTCTATATCAATTTGAAACAAAAACTTGAGTTTTTTTTTAATAAATCTCTAATTTGAACATAATTAAATCCAAATTTTTTTTCCAAAATTAGAAGAATAAGAAACTAATTTCAATAATAAAATCGGGGCATACTTTGTTAGAGACTAATATAAATTATATTTTGAAGCCTCACTTATCAGTTTAAGTTTTTAGGTTAAATGATCTTTTAATATAATCCTATCTCGTTTAACTTTTTAGGTGAGATAATCCTTTAATATACTTAACATAATTAGGATAAAGATTTTTTTTTTTCCTTTACGTAAACTGAAACAATGAAGATTTTTTTATTACTCCATTTTTTTTTCAATCGTACCAAACTATTCGTATACTATTATATGTACGAATCAAGATTAAATATAGCATGTTCAAATTATAGCAAACAAAAGCGTTAAAAAAAAAAAAAAAGAAGAAGAAGAAGCATAGACAAAATGTATAGGAAAGAATGAAGCATGGTGGAATCATATTATATTTGAAACTATTCATATTTTTATAGACAAATATATAGTTCCATAGGTTGAAATAATTCACACGCTCAAATTCATATCTTTTAAAAATTAAATGGTTAATTTGGTGCAAATAATCCAAATTAATGATATATAATTAATGGTTTGCCACTTTGCCTTGGTTGCAAATCACAGTTTCAACCAAAAACACAAGCAGAAAAGGGTGTTGGTCTCTAGGTAGGGTGAAGTGCGGCATTGGCATCCCTTGTGTTATTTAACGTTGATAGCTTCATCTGGCAAAAAAAAAAAAAGAAGACAAAATGAAGAAATGAAACCTAATTAGAGCATGCAGCCTTTAATTCATCTGGCATTCTCGTTTCTCCTTCCATGAAATCTTGGATTTGAACCTTTCAAGACCAAATTAAAAAAAAAAAAAGAAAAAAAAGAAAAAAAAAGAAAAAAGAAGCATTCATTACCATCTGTGATTTTAACAAAAAAGCCATGTGTGTAAATGCCAAAAAGTAGATCCGGGTTCATTTTTAATGCTAGAGAATGCAACCAACATAGTTTAAGACTTGAAACTCTTACGTCAACCCTTTAATTTGTCCATGTCTACAAATGCAGCATCCAATCAAGGCGTCGTCTTATGGAAAAATTTTATAATCCTGAGTAATTAATATTATGTATAATATTTATTTTATGAATTCACTTAGAAAAAAAAGATAGATAAATAATAATAAGAATAAATAAAAAAATAAATTTTTTTGAGTAAATGTGAAAATCTTTTTATTATTTTTTGTGGATCCTGGATGTAATTTTATACGTCTATATCTTTCCTCCAAATAGATTCATGGAATAATTACTCGTATATGTCACTTGTTATTATTTGGTATTATAAAATTTTTCGATCCTAAGTACGTTAAGAAAAGGATAAATGTGATGTTTTTTCCGATACAAACATACTTTTACAAAAATAAAAAAAGAACTTTTATAATTTTATTAAATACTCACTAAAAACTTGACTTGCACCTATTAATTTTTTGTGGATCCGGATATAATTTTATACGTTTATCTCTTTCCTTCAAATAGATTCATGGAATAACTACTGTATATGTTACTTGTTACTACTTGATATTATAAAATTTGTCGATACTAATTACGTTAAAAAAAGGATAAATGTGATGTTTTTACCGATACAAACATACTTTTACAAAAATAAAAAAAGAACTTATATAATTCTATTAAATACTCACTAAAAACTTGACTTGCACCTATTAATTTTTTGTGGATCCGAATATAATTTTATATATTTATCTCTTTCTTTTAAATAGATTCATGAAATAACTACTGTATATGTCATTTGTTACTACTTGATATTATAAAATTTTTCGATACTAATTACGTTAAAAAAAGGATAAATGTGATGTTTTTACCGATACAAACATACTTTTACAAAAATAAAAAAAGAACTTATATAATTTTATTAAATACTCACTAAAAACTTGACTTCCGCCCATGGTTAGAGATAAAAGGCTTAATTTTGAATGTGTCCATTAACTAATATTTCCTTTTCTTTGTAGGCAGGGACGGCGATACGGCTTGCCCAGAGGGGGTGGGGCCCTCTCAAATTTTTCAAAAAGTTAGTTTCAATCCTTGTGTTTAATAGTTATTTTAACTAGACCATTCAACAAGTTAATTATGACACTTATACTTAAAATTCATTTCAATTAGGCCCCTCAAGAAGTTTATTTTTTAATCCTATTTGTTTTAGTTTAACTCTATTCATCCTTAAATTTTTTATAAAACATTAAATACTCCACCATACTATCGAAGTATTATGAATTTGACACCAAATTATTTTTGTATCAATTTTACCACTTAACTATTTTGATTTTTTATGTAAGAGTTTCTGTTAGAATCACTTTTTTTTAAAAATTAAGTTTTCTACAATATGAAGGCGGTTTTTACAAAAAAAAATAAAAATAAAAATAAAATAGAGCACAATTTGAATAGAAATATGGATAAAAAGCTTCAAAAATAACCGAAAGTTCTTGATTGAAAAATTCTAAAAGCACGAGAGTAAAATTGGTAAAAAACATTGTTTGGTGATAACATTGAAACTATCTATATAGCTGAGTGATATTTTTGAAATTTGTCCAATATTTCTGTTCATATGGCACCTTCAACTATTTTACCCCAGCTTTTGTAGGCAGATCTTAACTGGGACATGCTCTCTCTCTCTCATAAAATAATAATAATAATAATAATAAACATTTCAAGTCACCTGTATAAATTAGGAAATTTACACGAATGCCATTTATATGATGACAGCTCATCACATCACATTGAGCACCGAAAATAAGAAAGTAGTTAATTTATATATGTATTGGGTTTGGACTTTGACGTGAAGATTAGGATTTTGCATGTTATTGAATTTAATAGAATTGATTAATGATCTCTTTTGGTGGGGCAATGGCTCTCTTTAACTAACAATTACCCACCCTTGTCTGCCTGTGGCCCTTCACTTTTACCGTCTGCTTCATATAATATTGAGATCAATTGCCCAACATATCCGCCTAGTCAAAAGATTTCATTTTTTTTTTAAAAAAAAAGTAGAAAATACTATAGATAGACTGATCTTATATTCAGTAAAAAAAAAAATTATGAATATAATAATCATACATATTTAAAGATATCTTATTTGTACTTAGGTTAGACCTAAACTTTAAAAAAACCTTCAAGAAAAAAACTACTAATTAATTGAACATAAATATTATATCATTTTATCAAGAAACCAACCATTCGAACATGAGATCTCAAATTAAATGCAACGGCGAATCAAAGTAATTGGAGATTAGAGTTTTTCTTAAGGGTGGCCAAAAAAATTAACAACGAAAGCATATATTCCTCGTTAAAAATAAATAAATTATATCATCATCTGCTTGTAAAGAAAAACTCATGTGTAAATAATTTGACAAATTCGAAATAATATTCATTTAATTTAGATAAATCAATTTAAACAAACTTCCAAACACTTGTTGATGTGAAAATTATTAGCCATTTAGTACATAATTTTGACTAATATGCCTATCTTATATTAAAAAAAATCATTTAACCTAATTCTAATTTAGGCTAAATACATCTTTTGTAAAGTTACAATCACAATTGAAAGCAATTCCTACTATTCTTAAGTCTACTTGCAAGGTGTAAAACGTTAAAAACCCTTAAAGTAACTAGTTTTGTGTCCCAATATTTTATCCTTTAGTTTTGGTTCCAAACTTTGGGGTCTCATTGATAGTTGAATCGATTCAGAGTTGAGATTGTGATAGAGTTATATGTGTATCGACATCGGTTATATTAATTTTTGAAAATGGTTTTTTTAAGGGGTAAGACATTTCGGTTAAAATTATGTGTCATGTGACTAATCTTTTCCATACAAATAAGCTTTTAGATGTTTATTAGAAATTAGGGAAAGTTGGATCGAATTGCCTAAATATAATGAATGTAGAGTTAAATTTACTAAATTATTTATACAAACATAGGGTTTAATTTTCCAATTTGATACAAACTTAGGATCTCAAAATATGATATATATATATATATATATATATATATATATATATATATATATATATATATATATATATATATATATATTTGAAATACCTCATCTAAATCAAAATATTTTCATTTGATGACTGAAATAGAAATATTTGGTTTTGGTGGGTTATTTAACTTAACTAACAATTGCAACCCTCTTAATTTTGGGCTCTTATGATTTTTTAAGCTCTGTAATTGGCATGTATTTAAATACATTACCAAATTTGGTAATGTGGTGAAACTATTTTTGTCAAAGTTTTTTTCAATTGAAAATGCATCAAATTGATGCGTTTTGATGTGTTTTTCATTGATTTTAATATCTTCACATCAAAGCTATTTAAAACCACTTTTTTTAAAAAAAAATGCTGTCAAAATACACTTTAAATCCCATTGAAACCGTCTTTACAAACAAGGCCTTAATGTTTACCAGTCTTCTGTCACGCTCTAATCGTATCCGAGACCAGATTGACAGTTTTGGTGCTAATTCAGTGGCCCTAACTATCAATGCATTAGGTTTGAATTAAACTTCATGAATGATAGTAGGTTTCCGACAAACTCCATCAATGACAGTAACATTGGTTTCATTTAGTTATCTATTAATTAGTTTTTATTAGAACTTCTTAAAACCATTTAAATAATTTTCTACACTACTCAGTGCTATTGTTCAAAGCAAAATGGTTTTGAATGATGGTAAGTCTTTCATTAGAAAATCTAAGTGTTTAATTGACCATGGCTTGGCCTGAAGTTATTAAGCAAGGACAAGGCAATCGGATTAGGTAAACCCTACAAAGTCTGCAATCAAGTTCTAACAGGAATCTAGTTGCTGATAGGTAAGGGAAAATTTAAGAACCATTTTCTTGTTAGGATTACTAGTAAAATTTGACATTCTTGAACCGAGGATTCTGACATAAACCAATGAAGTCAGGCCAACAAAGTTGGCATGCCACAATGGGCACTAGGCACTTGGCTATTGTAATAATGGCAGAAATTAATTGGCATATAAACTTGGTGCTGTAAGCCTGTAACAAGTAACACGCTTTTCAAGTGTTTGGCCATGGCAATTGACATTCTTGAGGGATTCAAAGTTCATATTCATTGCCTGTTCCTAGAGGGCATCCTGGTATTAATGATGTTCTTAACTACTAATTATTTAGACACCAATTAAGGTTGATTGTTTTTACGAAGCTCAACCTCCACATTTCTGTCATTGTCAATTTCAACTACCATACAAATTTCATAAAGAGACAACACTTTCAATCCCCACTAACCCAATTCGTTTGCTTACTCTTCTTATCTGTTTATATATGTATATATCTTAAGGACCACTCTTCACATGCAGGCATATCCCGTATAGCATTACCACACCTTTCATTTTTGCCTTATGTAACACAGCCAAAACTAGTTAGATATAGCTATGGACTGGTTCTCCTGGTTGTCAAGAAGCAGCCTTGCGCCCTCACTAATCTATGAGTATGGTCTTGCCTTTGCCCGTAATGAGCTCCAAGCAGAGGACTTGACCTACTTCAACCATGAGTTTCTTCAAAGTATGGGGATTTCAGTAGCCAAGCATAGGCTAGAAATACTCAAGCTTGCCAGGAAGGATGTTGGGGCAGGTCCAAATAGCCTTTCTAAGTTCATTTTGGCAATCAACAAGACCAGAAAGAGCATAAAGAAGTGTATTAATAAGTTTGTGTTTCATGGGGATTCTGCAGCGTTTAAGGCTGAGCTAGAGCCAGAGTTGGCTAGATGTCAAGGGCAGTGGACAGGAGGAGCATTGACAAGGAAGTACATGAGTGAGAAGGAGATGATCAAAGTAGAGCAGCCTCCAATACTCAAAATCAAGAGACAAGCAAAATCTGGGCCTTTGGATACTAGGATGCAAGAGAATTTGATGCAGGCCAATAGATGCTTGAAGCTGTCTGGGCCTCTGGATGGGAAGCTGCAGGAGAGATTGGTGGTTGCTTATAGAAGCCCAAAATTATGTGGGACTCCAGAGGGAAGGATGCCACAAAGGTTGATGGTCACTAATAGGAGCCCACAACTACCTAGGCCCTTGGATGCAAGATCCACAAGCCCAAAAGTTCATTGTGATTACAGCAAGGAAAGAGGAATGAATGGTGATTTTGATGATCATTCACTTTGGTCTGCACTTTTTCAGGACATGAAACCCACTTGATCAAATGGGTGTTTTCTTGGTTTATCTTCCTTTTTTCTTTTCCTTTTTTCCAATGTGGAAGAAACAAACTCTTATATGTTTATGTACTTCTCACTTTTATCTCTTGAACATGATTTGGATGTTTACCTTGAGACACTGCTGCATAGTATGATTATATGTGAGTATTTGGTTGTTTGGATTAGTTTTTTAACCTTTTTGTTTGATTTTCAGTTAACCGAACTCACTCAATCTAGATTTTTTTTTGAAATAATGTAAATAGCCCAAAACAAAATCGTGCTCGACTATGAAGTAAAAAGTCATTTTTCTAGTTTAAATGATCTAAAGTAACCTATATAAAAGATAATAAATATTTATTGAAATAAGACTAAAGAACAAAACCATACTATATAATAAATATCGAAAAATTTAAATACAAATTCACATCTAAAATAGATAATAATAAAAAAAACATTAAATATTCAAATATACAGTAAACAGAATTAATAAAATTTGAATACCAATTAAAATTTCAAACATGTTCTATGTATATATATATATATATATAGAAAATACTAAAAAAAATGTATAATTTGGTTTTTGATGAAAGCCAAACTAAAGATTTTAAAAACCGAAACAAAATTAATAACTAAAATTAACTCACTATCAGTTTTTTCAATAACCGGATATAGTTAAAAAAACGAACCGAATTTGTATTTAAGTTTCAGTTTTGGTTTCAACATCGCTAACCCCTAACTCTGACATTATTTGGTTTCAATAATTTGGAATTCGCTTCATACAGTTGCTTCCACTAGGTAGGGGTCAGCTCAAATCTTGCTAGTCCCTTTCTGCGTTGGTGCTGAAACGTTGACAGTTTAATGACCAAAGTTCTGATATGTAAGAGATTCATGCACTCACCGACGAGGACATTCTTCGATAAATTTTATAATATATAAAAAGTAGTTAACAGAATATATAGTAATTATTTCATAAACTTATTTTGAGAAGAGAGATAAAAAAAAAAAAAATTACATCCGAATTCATAAAAAGTGATAAGAAGATTTTCACGTTTGTTCGATTTTTTTATTCTCTCTTTTATGTTTTTTTTTCTATATCTACCTCTCTCTTCAAAGTGAGCCCATAGAGTAATTATTGTACAAATCATTAATTACTCCTTGTGTATTATATAATTTCTCCGACGTTATCCTATTTTAGCCAGTTTGACCATCCAATCAATTACTATATTAGCTTTTCTAGGTTTTTTTGCTAACTCAACAATGAACAAAATTCATCATTGGAGCTTTAGTTTCTAAATTCCTAAGCAAACAATGTTATTTGAGAATCAAACACATTCAACTCGGTTAAGTTAGTTTCTGCACACATTGGTGATTCCTAAACTGCGACTTCTTCTGCTAATCTGGCTGAGGAAACTTTATAAGCTATTTGATTGCAACAAATGATCCCTGTACCTGGTAAACTACTTGCATGTGCAAATGACATCTCGACATTGATCTTAATCTAGCTTTTTTTGAGGCAGGACCCATCTGCTCTGTATTTAATAAGCTGCCATGGCTGGAGGACTTGGTTCAGAATCAGAGAGGGAGAAGTTCTGTATTTACTCTGGTTGTTTAGTTGATTGGGCTGTTGCCTTTCTGGCTACAAGCTCCTCTTGTTGAAATTAAACTAATTTCTAGCGTTCCATTACTTCCATATAGCTCAATACAGCTTCTAACTGCTGCTCTGGCCTACAATATTCAAGGTACATCTCATCAAAGAAAATCAATGGTGTCTTTCCTATTTAGTGTTAAAGCCTTTTTTCTACCTCATTATTAACAGAAACAAGTGAAAGAGATGGAGATAATAAATAGTAATTACTATTCATTATCTCCCACATCAGTGTTTAATGTGGGGTAATTTTGATAATTTTAGATGGTGGCATTTTCATAATTTTTTGACTGTTTTTGTATACATATGCAAATTTTATATTATATTATATTTTTTTCCCTATGTTATTAAAATATATTTTTAGCCTTTAAGGTTTTTAAAAGATATTTTTAGCCCTTCATGTTTTTCATAATTTAGAATTAACATATATATATTACTCTTATTATTTAAAATGATATCTTTAATTTTTTATTTTTTATGAAAATTCTCATCAAATTAATTTTTTATTCTTTTTTATGTAATTTTATTTGTTAATAAATATGATTTAATTTTCTATATGTATGAATTTTTGAATAATTTTTTTAAAAGAAAATAATTAATTAAATAATAGAATTTACATATTTTATTTGCTTGTTCTTGATGTACTCAAATTTATCGAAATAAAATTTTTGATCTTTTTATTGAACTCTATTAACTTCAATATATTCCTTACAATTTATTTTTTTAAAAAAATATTTTTTATTTATACTGCACATTCTAACTCATTGAGTATGGTAATGAGGCATATAAAAAATATGAAAATCCTCAGCTTTATTGAAAATTAACTACACATATATACACATAACACTAACTATTTGCTATTAATTTTTTAAAATAATTTAAAATTAATTTTTTAAAACAAATTAATTACAATAATGTTTTAAAAGAACCACCTAATAATTCAAATACGTATTTTTATACTAATATTATTGATTTTTTTTGTAAATAAATATATATAAATTGAATTTACATATTTTCAAAAAGTTAAAAAGAATCTTTAGTTAAGTTTCATACAATTTTTATACTATTTATTTCTTTATTTTTTCGATTCAATTTTACGAAAAAAAAAACAAGATGTTTATAAAAAATTTAAATTTAAATTTCTATTTATATTATTACAAATTTTTATTTAAGAATGAATGCATAGCTAAGAACAAATTGTGTTTTTTTTTTAATGACAAAATTTATAAAAAAAAAACTTAAAAAACGAAAAATGAAATACAAAATTTTAATTAAAAATTATGAAATTAGATGAAATTTAATTTTTTATTTTCAATATAATATTTTTTAATTAATCGATAACATAGTATAGATAATCAAATTGAAATAAATATGTTTAATTTGGTTTGTATTACACCACGAGAAGCCAACTAATTTTGTAAAAACCTAAAAGAGGGCGTAGAGTGAAAACGAAACTGTACACCATCTCTCAACACGCTGTTTACCATCGCCCCATTAGCACTATTCATGCAGCACAGGTTCCTGAAGAATTAGATGTTAAGCAATCTTGGCTGTTCACTCCAAGGACTAAAATTCGGACAATTGATTATTTTGATACCTTGTCATTTTGGTCCCTAATCTTCATTTTCGTTACTTTTGGGTCTGGGATTCTATTTTTAAGAGAAAGAGGGGGGCAAAATTTGAGAAGAAAGATGATAGGACACACGGCTATTCTAACTACAATTCCACAATTTCGGTATAAAAGAATGTTAAAGAAGTCACACATATGAGTTGAATTAATTAGTGTCCATGAAAAACTCATCTATGGTCGGACAGTGAGAACGGAAATGAAATTAAATTTGGTTTTAAATTTGGATTTTAATTTTAAAGGATTTTAAGTGAATTGGAATAAGTTTTGAAATTAGAAAAAGGTTTGAACGTTATGGAGATGATTTTGTGATTTTGTTTTTTTTGGTGGCTAAAAGAGTTTTAGAACGATGTTTTGGAGAGCCATGTCATCCGTTCGTTATTTTTATAAACAAAAAACAAAAAATAAAAAGAAAATAAATCAAGAGCTTGGGCCTCACAAGTCCGGCCTAGGCAATTCACAGCCGGGACTGGAAGATCAGGCCCGATTTCTATGCTTTTTTTTACTTTCTAAAGTTTTTAGTTTTTAATTCTTTTTTTTTTTTTAACAAAAGGTTTTTTTCTTTATGATTTAATTTTTTTAGTGAGATTCTCCAATTAATTCGTACATTTTATTTCTCTAATAATTTTTTTTGATATTTTTTTATCTATTCCTAGTGATGATGCACATCCTAAAAATTATGTTAATTTTTGTTTATACAACTCCAAATATATTATTAAATATACATATTAGTTGTTGTTTCTTTGATTGAAAAGTGTCAAAGATACTTAAAAAAAAAAAAACACAATGATATAAGTAATAATATTGATAATCTCTCCATGATGACAAATTATTTATTTATTTAATGGATAGATAATTTGACTGGTAGTACTTTGACCAGGTTTCTTTTTTCATTTTTTGAAAAGTATTTGAATATAATCAGGATTGTGCTTATCAACTCCTCTAATTATTCTACAGGCCCATTAAGGAAACTTGGGCTTTCCACTTGGTCTGTTTGAGCATTTCAATACCATATACCAGTAGTTCTAAGCATTTTCACTTTTAAAAAGATTTGGTTAAGTAGCACTACGATATTTCAACTATTATCTTATAAAAATTAGAATATCATAGACTATTAAAAATAAAAAAATTATAAAGTCTACAAAAGTTGGTATATATGTTTAAGAATTGGCTCTCTTAATATTTTCAGGCACCGTTTATTATATTTTTAGCTACTCACCTTGATAAATAAAATTTTAAAATTTTTTTAATTATTGAGGTATTTTTATTTTAAAAAAAGTTATGATGTCTTAGAAAAACACAGTTTATTTTATCATATGCTGCATAAAATGATCATAACTTATAGTATGAGCCACGAAAATAACTTGAAAATTTTTTATTTGATAGGAGACAGAGGGCTATTCTAGCTACAATTTTGGTATAAAAGGGTGTCAAAGAGGTCATATAGATGAGTTGAATTAATTAGTATCCATGAAAAACCCATCTATGGCTGGGCAGTGAAGAGATCGGAACTGAAATTAAATTTGGTTTTAAAATTTTGTTTCAATTTTAAAGGATTTTAAGTGAATTAATTAGAATAAGTTTTGAAATTGGAAAAGGTCTAGGAATGTTATGGAGATGATTTTGTGATTTTATTATTATTATTTTTTGTGTGGCTAAAAAGAGGTTTAAAATGATGTTTTGGAGAGCCAAGGCGTTCCTTCGTTATTTTTATAAACCAATAAATAAATAAAATAAAATAAAAAATCAAGAGCTTGGGCTTCTCAAGTTCGGCCTGGGCACGTCGCAGCCCGGAGTGGAAGCATCAGGCCCGATTTCTATGCTTTTTTTTTTTCTCTAAAGTTTTTAGTTTTATTTTTTTTTACAAAAAGTTTTTTTTTATTTTTTCTTTATCATTTAATTTTTTTTTTGTGAGATTCTCCAATTAATTCATACATTTTATTTCTCTAATAAAAATTTATGATATTGTTTTTGATCTATTCCTAGCGATGCATATCCTTAAAGTTATGTTAATTTTTTTATACAACTCCAAATATATTATTAACTATACATTTTATTGCTGTTTCTTAGATTGAAAAGTGTCAAAGATACAAAATAAATAAATAGATAACACAATGATATTTTCTGAAAAAAAAACATAATGATTAATAAATTGAGACCTCATGATAAAAATAAAATTTTTAATTCAAATTTATCAATCTACCATGCGTAATTTGAAAAATATTTAAATAATAGAACATTGAAATTTAAACATACACTAAAATTTATATTTAAAAATATTTGATTCGTTACACATGATCTAAATTTTACAATGATTTCTTAATAGCAATTTATATTTTAATTAGTTGTCAATTTATGCATAACCTGAAATTTATTTTGTTTTTATTGAAAATTACATGTGATAATTTGAAATACATCTTAATATTAAAGATTTAGAAATCAATAATCAATCAATCTTAAGCGTAATTGTGTGAGTCTTATTGGGTTGTGAAGTTTTCCTTATGTGAAAGATTCAACGTTTATAGTTTAAGAAATGTTTAGTTTCTAAAATTACAAGTTACAGACAGATATTACTTGAAGCTGACTCGAAGTTGGTCATTCAGTTATTGACTTCTCAGGACGATATTCATTATGCATATAGCCATCCAGTCCAAACTATTTCTATTAACCTTCAACGGCCATTGCAAGTTTGGATTTCTCATGAGCAAATCGTACTATAGATCGACTTGTTTTTTATGCCAATTTTCTTTTATTAAAAATTACTTATCTCTTAAATTAATGCTCCTATTAGTCGTGTTAGTCTCTTATTGGAAGATATTTGAAGAGTTGTCATTCTTAAATTATAAAATGTATAGCTTTCTTTCAGAACTTTACTTATCCTTAGAATCCAAAAAATAAAAATAATAATGCAATCATCGATCCTTTTCCTATTCATAAATGCAAAGATAAGAAATTGTTTGGATATGTGAAATTTTTCCACAAAATGAAAATATTCCAGGCAGATAATGTTGGTCATGCTGACTATTGTTAACATTTTTCTTTTCTTTGTTTCTTTGGTGATCCAATGAAACTTCACTGGTCAAGCAATGTAACAGTTTCCTGGCCCATGGTGCAATTTTCCACAACCACTAACGAGATTGTCAGTGATTGCATTATTTTTGCCGTGGGGAACACATTGCCTACGATGACCACTTCAGTATCTTTCTGTTTCTATTTTATTGTAAATACCAAAAAATATTCACCTCCAAAATACTAAACTTAATAAATCCTTATCTACCTTAATTACGAAAACAAGAAGAAGGAAAAAAACTAAAAAAAAATGTAATAAAATATGTAAATAAAGCATCACTAACAAATTTAGGACCAACACTTACCTCAACAATAATTTTACTAGATCAATAGACAATGATATTTAATTAGTGTTTGAAGTTTCATAATTCAAGTCTCAAGGCAATCGTTTTTTCTTTTACTCTTTTGCAAATATTAAAAAAAAAAAAATTGTTTCTCTACCTTTTCGTTTTTTTGCTTATTTTGTTACTTGTTTTGTTATCTTTATCTCTTTTTCTTCACACACACACATATATATGGGATTTGAGGAGAACAAGTTCTTCTACAACTGCATGGTAGTTACTTGAATATTTTTTTATTTTAAATAATTTTGTTGTTGGGTCAACCTGACCTAAATTTCTTCTTTTTGAAAAAAAAAAAAAAACCCTATATATCCACTCATACATGATGGGCTAAATCCGATGCAAGACTCTTTGTAATATCGATAATAAAACAAAAAAAATACATTTTCATACTAGCAAATGGATGGTGCAATTCAGCTAGTATTTATGCATTTTGGGAGCTCATTATTATGCTTCTATTAGCAATAATATAGTAGCTATCACCTAATGTTAATTAAAGATATATGAGGTACAATATATTATTTTTAAAAATATGAAAATATTGATGAAAAAGAATATATTTTTAAAATAAATTATAGACTATTTAATTAGTTTTTGAAAAAAAACACTATTTAATTCTTTTTTTAAAACTAAAAGGACTAATTTATAATTTACTCAAGAAACTGCTCAGCTAAAAAATGTTCAAACTTTTGGATCATGAGGCTCGCTGTTGATTTTTTTTATTATTTGTTAACAAAAGTGATGCCTCTAGAGGTCACAAAATTGTAGATCTCATTTGAGCATAGCCTTAGCAGCTGCAGCTTTACGTTGTAGAATAAAAAATTTTAGGGAGTAAAAGTGCGTGTTGATAATTGATAGGTAGCATTATATATATATATATATATATATATATATATATTCGTTTTCTTATATTCAAGTGGAGTTTATGATATTACTTACAATTATATAACTGTGAACAATTTTTCTTTTTCTTTGTTTAACTTTTTTTGGTTTTATAACGAAGGTTTTTTAGATCTTTCCCACGTCAAAATTAACAAGTCTAAGTGAAAATTCTGATTTTTGTTTTTATGTGAAATTACAACTTGATTATCATTATTAACAGAACATAATATAATTGTTGTGGTTCTAGCAAATAAAGCTGACCGTTTACGCAGAAAAAACTGAAAATTTAAATACCCCCACATGAATTGCCAACCGTGCTGTTTGGACAAATATTGGATTTCAGCATCAGAGTCAAATGCCATAATTTTCCAGTTTCCACAGACAATAAAGTCTTCTGTTTTTGGCCTATTGTCCCATTAATTCTTCGCAGAAATATACATCATGAATAAAAAGCCAAGTTCGATAGGATATGTGTGATCGATATCAGATACATAACCATGTCTCCATTAGCTTTTGTCCTTTTTTATTTTTTGTCAGTTGGGTTACTAATACTAAACTTAATAATTCCTTATCTACTTTAATTAAGTAAAAAGGAAAAAGAACTAAAAAAAATGTAATAAAATATGTAAATACAACATCACTAACAAATTTAGCGTCAACACTTACCTGAAAAATAGTTTTACTATATCAATAGACAATGATATTTAATCAGTGTTTGAAGTTCTATAAACCAAGTCTCAGGATAATCATTTTTAATTTCTTTAACTCTTTTGCACATATTCAAAAAAAAAAAATTGTTTCTCTACCTTTTCGTTTTTTTTTCCTATTCAGTTCTTTATTCTGTTTTATATATATATATAAAGCTAAACAAATTATCAACATACGTGATTTTGCAAATTGGCAACTCCACGGACAAAAGAAAAGTTTTATTAGCTTGATAGTAAAAGAATATAAGAATCCCGAAGATTCAATGCAAAGTCTCTGTCTTTCACTCTATTTTTTAAACAAAGACATAAGGAGATTTAAGTGCCTTATACCTATAAAGAGAAAAACCTAATAGGCTAAATATATTATTGGCCCATAAAATTCAAGTCATACACAATAAATCTCCACCTTAGCTTGAATTTTGCAAACCTTCAAGAATATCAAATAATTCTTTAAAACACATCTCTAAGCTTACTTGAGCTAACTCGATGTAAGAAAATAGAGATGTGAAGATAGAAAATATTGACTTCAACATTAGGACTAAGAAATTCCTTCTTTCCAACAAAACCCTAACATGCACGAGACAAATGCTCAAGGCACACAACACAAGACAAGTGCTTCACACGGGCGAAGCATGAAGCATGGAAGAGAGAAGAAAACTCACATGATCGTGTCTCTCTTTTTCACACGGTCAAGCCTCTCTTGTTAGTAACACACTTTGATTTTCTTAACACCACTCGAGTCCAAATAATATGTGAATTTATTTGTTGTAATAAGTTTAGTTAACACATCGGCTAGATTATTTTTAATGTGAACTTTCTTCACTACAATCTTCTTGTTAGAAATCGCTTCATGAATGAAATGATACACGATATCAATATGCTTGATGCTCTCGTGATGTGTTTGATTTTTAGCTAAGTGTATAACACTTTGGTTGTCACAAAAGACAACTGAATTTTCTTCTTGTTGAAGACCAAGTTCCTCTACAAGATTTCTCAACTAAATAGCCTTCTTCACGGCCTTAGTCGCTATCATATATTCCGTTTCGGTAGTCAATAAAACAACTATTGATTGTTATGTTGATCTCTAACTAATAGCGAGAACTCGAAAGAGTAAAGATATGTCCTGTCAAAGATCTCATTTTATTGAGATCACTTATATAGTCGGAATCCACAAAGCCTACAATAGAAGTTTGAGAAGCACTCGCCTCTTTCAAAGACTAAACACAAGTTTGTGGTACCTTTGAGATACCCGAGAATCCATTTCATTGCTTGCTAATGTACATTTTCCTAGGTGAGCCATATATCTCGCTCACAACACTAACTGTCCAGGCAATGTTTGGATGAGTGCAAATCATAGCATACGTTATGCTACCTATTACACTAGAATATGGAACCCGTGATATTTCTTTCTCTTCTTCGTCATTTTGAGGTGATCGAGAAGCCAAAATTCTAAAGTGAGCGA